TGTCTGTCCTCCAGGGAGAGGTGAAAAATCCTTTCTCGTGAACTCAGTATTATGAGTGCATCCTAACAGCTGTCCCTCCCCAGCTGTTCCAAGGATGCCCATGATTATATTCCTTCCAGTGCTCCTGGCAGATCCGTGCCCAGAGGCCACCTGCCTGCTTTCACTATGCTGGGAAAAGCAGCAGCAATCCCAGGACCCTGTGACAGAAGGACGCCTCCTTTTATTGGAGCTGTTTGAGCCCAGAGCGATCCCATCCCTCCCACACACATGCACGCCTTCTAACTGGCTTTCCCGTCCTTCTCCTAGGCTCCAGGCAGTGAGAATGAAAATAAATGAGCTGTGAATGAATTGAACCTTTCCCCCCACCCCCACTGCGGTTTCATCATCAGTGTGTCCCCACCCCATGCCATGTGCTCACCTCCCTTTTACTCAAGGAACAGAACCTCAGTGGAGGCAGGGAGAAGCCCCCCACAGACATATCTGAGCTGAGGTAGTCTTGGAATGAGAATAGGGCCATTGGCATAAAGATACTTCTTAGCAGGGTGCTCCTAGCTAGATCTTCTCAAGCTAGTTTTTCTCAAGGCTCTGGGTGAATGTTTGGAGACTATTACCCTCAGTTTTGATTTTTTTATTCTGCTTTATTATTTGTTGAGGCAAAGTCTCCTTATGTAGTTCAGGCTGGCTTTGAACTCACTTTGTAGCCCAGGCTGGCCTCGAACTCAAGGCCACCCTCCTTCTCCAGCCTCCTGAGTATGGGGTCACCAGCTGTGTGCACCACCACACCCAGTTTATCTTCAGATTTTAGAATCTGTATGTGTTCTTTTACCCAATCACCCCTATCTGATGCAAGAGTTTGGGTGAAATCATTAGCTAAGGTTCTGCCTGGATTTAAAAGGCTTGGCTCACTGGGTCAGAAGGAACGTGAGTCCAAGCTGAGACTTCGTCTCAAAAAACAAACAGTAAATGAAGGCTATACCATACATGGTACCATTGGGTTGAACTGTGTCAGAATCCTCTGCCACCCCTTTGGCATGGGCTCAGTCCTACAGCAGGCAGGTCTCAGGAATCAGTGTGTCACAGCTTCCCACAGCCCCCTGCGCTCCAGAGGCATCCGCGTCAGTGCCATGTGCTCACCTTCACTGTGCCTGGGCTTCACTCGGTCACCAGGCAAAAGGATGGTGATGCAGATATCAGAGATGGTGCAGAAGCTCATGGGGAGAGAGGACTTCCTCCTCCTCCCCACCCCTAGTCCCAGGAGTTACTTTATAAGACTTTGAGGGCAGCCAGGCAAAAAAAGTAGTTAAGGTGACACTTGCTTATATAAAGAGCTCTTATTACAGTAGAGGAAATTAAATCTTCTCCCCAAACCCTTCAGCCAAAATGTATCTATTTTTATTATCTGCTTCCTTCTAGACGTTTCCTGATTTTATATTCTTGCCAGCAGAAATCATAGTGTAGACAAGCATTTTTGTTATGCTCTTTCATTTAACATTTATTAGGATGCTTTTCTGTGTTCCTGCAGTTTTTAATTGCTGTTTTAATGCCTGCATTCTGGCACATCATTAGACTTTATGCTCCATTGTTGAATATTTAAGTTGTTTTCAATATTTTATTGTTACAGAAAGCACTTTGATACACATTTATGCATATGGTTTTTTTTCTTAACTTTCTTTGATTTTATTGCCTTCCAGTGGCAAGGAAAAGAGTGGATCAGAGAGAACGAACATTTCTGTTGCTTTTAATATACAAAGCCCTCTTCATTATTAAAAAGATAATACCCATTTACATTTCGAAACATGCCTATAATCTTTCTGGTAATTAGGAGTTTTATCTTAAATGTTTTGCCAAGAAGAACAACTGCGATTCCTTGGTTTTAATTTATACTTTGATTAGATTCGAGACGAACCTTTCCCCAAATTTAATTTTGTAGCCTCTTCTGTGAATTTTCTGTTTGTATTCTTTGCACTTCTGCTATAGATTTGTCATCATTCTTACAAATTTATACAGATAATCCCTCTCCAATCCATCCATGAATGCTTTCAATTTAAACACAATTTTTAAAAATTCTGCAATTATAAATTAAAGTATATTATGTATACACGTCTTACAAAAAATAATAAAATTTTACAGTGCTTATGATGTTCAAGGCATAATTCTAAGTACTTTACCCTTACCTTTGTGAAATTTCTTCTACTTTCTTCCAGTTCAAGAAATGGAGGGGCTGGGGATTTAGCTCAGCGGCATAAGCGCCTGCTTTGCAAGCAGGCAATCGTGAGTTCGATCCCTGCTACTGATAAAAAGGAAAAAGACCAAAAAAAAAAAAAAAAAAAAAAAAGAAAAGAAAAAAAGAAATGGATAAATCAAGGCAAAAAAGGTCAAGAAACTTGCCTAAGTGCAACCTGATAGATAAGCCAGGGTTCAGCACCAGGCATCCTGGCCCCTAAACCTATGCTGTAGCCTTGTATTCGATCTCTTAAGGGAATTGGGGAAAGAAGGCAGCAGGCAGTGCTGTCCTGGACAGCGAATGGGCGACACACACCCAATCCCATGGATGCTGTAGACGGGAAAAGGCATGTGGGAGCACCTTGATTCTCTCAATGCATTGCTCACTCTGGTAAAATGAATTAAGAAGGAGATGCCCAGATGAACAGGAAGATCAGCTCTGTGCAGCAGCACATCCCTCGTAGCTTTGGGACTTGTTTCCAAGGATTGTTTGAAGGTGGGTGTTGCTGCTGAGTGGTCACAGCTGTGTCTCCCAGCTGGGCGCTCTCTAAGGCGGTGTCAGCACTGCCGTCCACCCCACCCCTTGGTAGTCTGATAGGTTTTATTTTGACTACTGGTTCTTAGATCATAAACTCTGTTTCGTTTGTTGTGGGTTAAGTGAATTTAACTCTGGGGTGTTTAAATGTTGAGTAATGAATTTTCACAACTTTGATGCCAGAGTTGGAAGAGCATTTACATCATTGGCTCTGTTGAATAAGTTGATAAATAGGGAGGGACACACAGGCTTTTATTAGTAGGCTTTATTGATTTAAAGAGATAGAAATACAGATATACAAACAGTTGAATTCTGACCAGAAGTTTAAGCAAGGAAATCTGCAGAGGACTGTTTCTGCTATCGCTCAGCCCGACCCACTGTGCCCCCACATCCATCAGTTTGGAGATCTACCTTTACGTAGCTAGGTGGACTAAGGGAGCCACTGAAATGACAATCATGAAAACACAACCAAAAGTCACTTTGTGCCCTGTTGATAGCATTTCCATCAATGCCCTGCATAATCTGAATGGGTCAAGGTGAATTTATCCATTTTGAGTTACAGCATTTTCGTGTCTTCTGCATGGCAAGAATAGTACACCTCAGCATCATCAGCTTGGGGTTTCAGTTTAGGGTGAGCTTTCTGAATCTGCTGTCTACATTTATCTTTCCAAGTAAAATGTGGAGCTATACAGATAGGAAATGCTTGGCCCTCATTAAGAGTGAATGCAGGGAATAGTGGATGTGTTTCAGTTGCCTGCAAGAGAATTTTAAATCAATCTGAACAAACTGCTGAAAGATGTAGCTCGATCTACGAGTTTTCCAGCTGGTGCATGACCTGCCAGGAGGAATCCAGGCTCTAGAGACCACAGTCAAGGGCCACCTTTCCTACTTAGCTTATTTCAGGACTCTAAGGAATTGACCAGTCTTACACAGTTCAGCCATCCCAGAGAATTGAGCTGGTTATGGGTTATCAAAGGCAGCTTCATTCATAAAGTTGCATCTTTCACTAATACTGCAGCCAAGGTCTGAGAATGGGCCTTACCTTTTCCAACAGAATTTCCTTCACTAGTTAGTGAACCTCTTGCAAGTGGAGGCACTGGGCAGCTTGCTGGAAGGGCACCAGCATTTATAAGATATCAAAGCCCTCTTAGACCTGCTTGTGGCAACTGGGTAGAAGGAGATCTGTCCTATACTCTGCCAGGGGAGCTGAGGCCGGTTTCATCCTGACCCATGTTCTTATCTGCGTGGTTTTGTCTATACACAGACTGCGTACCATGATGTTGGAAGAGACCCACTAGAAACAGCATGATATGGGACTAAGTGGTCCCATTCAGATAATGTCACTTTCTTTAGTGTGATTTATGAGGACTATCCATTGCCCTTCATTCAAGCTTTTAGCCTGGCCGTTTTGGGGTTGCATCTTACTACTCACTGTCACAGGCACCCGGGCTCATCTGGCCTCCTTGCTTCAGCCAATAATAACTGCCCCCTTCTGTCCACTGTGCTCTCCATAGCTCAGGCTGCAGGACAAAGTTTAGCTATTGCTTCTTCCAGGAATTCTACCCTGATCTGCCTGGTCTGCAGCATCCCATGTAGGGACTATCGCAGCATCCTGAATGTTCCTGTCACAGGATTTAAAACACTAGCCAGGGGCTGGGAATGTGGCTTCGCATTAGAGTGCTTGCCTAGCGTGCATAAGACCCTAGGTTCAGCGTCCAGCACTGGAAACAAACACCACCACCACCCCACAGAAAAAAAAGCAGTGCCTTGTGCTTCCTGTTTTCTTCTCAGCATATCTGCACAAGCCTGTTTACTTCTTATAACAGGAAATATGTTTTTTCTATTCATGGTTGTATTAGGAAGGCTTTGGACAATGAACAGTCTGTATATACCTGTTGAAAAACAAAGTCATAACTGCATGCCCTTAAAGCCTTGTTGGTTGATGGATTCTGAGCACTTGGGTTGGCTTGCTTTTATGGGTTGTGATGGGTATTACTGTTGAAGAGGTGACAGAAGGACAAATCCTTGGAGAAACCCTGCAGAAAACCACATTCTCTCTTAGGAGTCACCTCTTGCCTGGCTGCTTAGCTGAAGAGAACCCACTAAGTATGGGCCCTAAAATCATGTGACTCACCCAGTGGTGATTTCAGAGCCAGAGAATGTTCTAGCAAAAGCCAGGATTTTTTTTTTTTTTTTCCTTACTAAGCTCCAAAGCACAGTAATTGTCTCTTGCCTTCTCTAGCACTGGAAGACGCAAGGCAGCGAGGAATATGAAGCAGAAGGTAAGAGCAGCATGCGAGAGGGCCACGGTTGGTAGAGCACTCTCCACAGCCTGCCTTCCTGTATGTGAGGCTGGAGGCTGCTTGGGAATTCACATGAAGAACAAAAGCCTCAGAAAATGATTCCTCATTGGTAGCTCATAGTTTTTAAAAAACCTAACTTTTCATGTCATGCAAAAGATGGCAAATAAGATACAGAATTCTACTTACAGGCTAATTACTCTCTATACAGTCTTTCCAATTAATTTGCGATCAGTGCTCGCCTATTAAATTGCACTCCTGGAGTTTCAAATGTGTTCGAGAAGCATCGAAACATGTGGTCCCCAGGCCACCAGGGGGCGCCGAGGTTCAGCTGACAGGGTCTCCACCTGTTTCCCTGTGTATCTGGCATTTACACGCAGAAGTGTGATTACAGCGTGTTCTCCCCCTCCAGCCTGGACAGACACAGCAGTGAGCAGGTTAATTTCTGTCAGTAAATAGCAGGGATGGCCCTAAGTGCGCCTCTCAAGTCTCCCAGCCTCTGCCAGGCACGCACAATTGTGCCAGCAATTACCTCACATTAAAGCGATGGCTTTTTACAGCTCAGTCAGTGGATGACTTAGAAGGGGGAACTTTTAATAGAGAATGAACAGTGTTGATGTGTAAATAGATAGTTTGATCCTTGTCTTTGGCTAGACCGTCTCTTTCAGATAATTAGGAACTGGCAGCCTGTAGTTCTTTTAAGTTGGATGCTGTAGGTCAGACTATCATACGCAAGGATTTTAGGAACAGGCAAATCTTGAGACATTCAGCATGCACCTGTTTCCTTCTTAATAAAACATGTGCTGGAACATATACCAGAAAGTGTAAATAAACCAGTCCAGAAGCCAGAGTTGAGGCTGCTCTTTAAAGATTTGAGGATAGCTCTCAACCACCCTTAGAAGATTACACAGCAGATTGAACTCATGACATTATCATCTTTTTCTTAAAATATTTATTTTCAAAGAATGCACTTTTTTTTGAAAGTCGGCACTTTTTTGTAATTCATTTGGAAATACCATAAAAGTAGTGGTTGTTGATCCCAGCACTTGGGAGGCTGAGGCAGGAGGATCATTGCAAGTTCAAGACCAGCCTGGGCTACAAAGTGAGCCCAAGGCCAATCTGAACTGCATAGCGAGACCCTGTCTCAAAAAGACAAAAAAAAAAAGTAGTGGTTGATATGTATATATATAGTATTTGTGTTTCTAAAGTCTATCACAGTAAAAGACACATTGCCATTAATCCTCACTTTGAATATACATCCCATTGTTTTTGCTACTTTCTGGAGCAATTCTGGAAGTCCTGTTTTGTGTCTTTGAGAGCTGTGATCAAAACTACGGTGAATGCTGCTGTCCAGCGCCGTTCAGTGAAAGGCAAGCTTGTAAAAACGTTAGTGCGTCCTCAGCTGCCTTGGTGATTGGATCCAGCACTGTGAGACTTCTGGCTCCTGCCCAGAGTCACAATGACTGACAGGTAGATGTCCTGATTCAGTACATCAGGGCATGACAGCACAATTAAAGACACCCCTGAAAGAGGACTTCCAGACTGCTTCAGAAAGCAGCAGGGACAATGGATTAAGTGTGTTCAAATCAGGAATGAGGGCTGGACTGTGGGGGTGGTTATTGGCGATTTGCTTTTTACTGCAATCTTTTTTAAAAAAAGTATTCGCTGTATCTTTTGATCACACTTTATATATGATTTGATTTCAGGTCAGTTAAGGTTTTGGAATCCAGATGACTTGAATGCCTCACAGAGTGGGTCCTCCCCACCCCAAGACTGGATAGAAGAGAAACTGCAAGAGGTTTGTGACGATCTGGGAATCACCCGTGATGGTCACCTGAACCGGAAGAAGCTCGTCTCTATCTGCGAGCAGTATGGTTTGCAGAATGTGGATGGAGAGGTGAGCTCTGCCGTGCACCACCTCGGGGATGCTGATAAAGCTGAGCTGGCCACAGGCTGGAAATTGCTGTGTCGTGGCTTCCTGCCTCTGGCGACAGAGATCATTTTCTCCTCAGAGACCTTCTCAAAGATTTTGTGTTTGAGAAACTTGGGTTGTGGAAAAGCAAAGCTGACAGTGGCCTGCACTGGGTGCATACCATGTGCTAAGCTGTGACCCGTGAGACCATCAGACGCCAGTGCAGTGCAGCCCGTGTCACAAGTGACCCTAGAAGTGTCAGTCAGAGCCAACTGTGGGACCATGTGGAGGGAGAGTTGCACAGGAGTCCCACAGATTTGAAAAGGGAAAGGGGCGAGTTTGAAGGCCAGGCTGAAAAGTGTAGGTTTTTAGAAAGAAGATCTCAGTGTCTTCCTGCTTACGCAAACTGAGCAGTATGTAGGACAAGCCAACTTGCTGCATGTGACCTCAGCTGCCTTTGGAGGTAGGCGTGAAGACAGCTTTGGTTCAACAGAGCATCCCAGCACCCTGACCATGTCCTGGTCTCCAGGAAACAGAGAAGAGTAGGTCGGTTGTTTTGGAAAGACAAAGAAAAATCACAAGGGTGCATCTGACAGAGTCTTGCTTGGTAATACTTGAGCTTTATTTTTTCTGGAAAAAAATTAAGAGGATACACACAGGACCAAATGCACAAATAGCTGTGAAACACAAGAGTATAACTAATTCCAAGATATGTCTTTCAGAAAGCTAAAAATAAAGTTGAGTTAGAGGTTAGATCTGCCGTCCCGGCTTCAGAATCTCTGATTATAACGCTATTTGAAACCAGGCTGTGTTCTCGCTCAGGGGATAAATGATATTACTTGCCTAACCAAGGAGGAGATTTTCATCAAAAAGCTTCCAAGTAGCCCAGCTTGCAAAAGATTTTTCCCTTCTCCTTTATTTATGTGGCTGTGATCCGTCATGCGGCTGCTGTTTTTATGGCCCAGGAGTGACTTATTTGTCAGTGATGGCTAAACTGAATCCATCTTAAACTAAGCCCATCCTCCTAATTTATAAGCCAGAGCAAAACAGAGAACCTCGAGTTGGTTTTATTTCCAAGAAATATTGCACAAACTTGATTGTTTATCTGAAAACAGTTCTCCAGGCAAGCAGTAGCCTCCTGCAGGCAGCTGCCTTTTCTTGTGTGTCAGAGTCTTCCAGACCTGGTACAAGATGTGTCCTGTCTGGTTCTTTGCGTCTGGTCCGAGGATGACTACAGAGATAGTCACTGAACGTGGCGTTTGCATAGTATGTGTGGCAGAGAAGAAAAATTGTGGGATTCTATAGTTTTGTTTTTTGTTGTTGTTGTTTTGTTTTTTTAGTTATAAACTGTAAACCAGTGAGAAAGTAATGATGTTTTTGGGCTGGCAGCTTGAAATCCTGGAGTTATTTAACTGTAGGCAATTGGAGCTTGAGTGACCCCTCATGTGCAGGCACAGTTGAGGCCACTCTCCCACCTCACCCCACACTGTGTTGCGAGGCAACTCTACTCAATAATTTTAAAGAACTGCTTGGTTAGTACATGTTTGCAGTGAGTGTTTACATTCAAGGATTGGTACACATATGTCACATCTCTTAATTCTTTTTAGCCCCCATTCCCTTGCCCCCATTCCTGTGTGCCCTTCCTGTTTGCAAAAGTTCTATCTTCCTGTTTCCTGTTGTCTGTTATTTTGCTTCTTAAAAAGTATCTATAGTTTTGAGTTTCTCATGTAAGAGGAGCTGTAAGATATTTACACTTGTGTGACTGATTTATTTCACTTAACATTGTGGTCTCAAGGTACATCCATTTTCCAACAAATGACCCATGCACCTTCTTTATGGCAGAGTCGTACTCCACTGTGTATAAATACCACATTTTCTTTACCCATGCATTTATTGATGGATGTATAGATTTCTTCCAAGCTTCTGCTATTATTTTGAGTTCTATAAACATGGATATGCATGAATCTGTGGCTGTAATAGTTCTCTGCTTTCCTGGTGTGAGGACAGCCATAGGACAGGAATGGCAAACTGGTACAGTAGATACTACATGTGTCCCAAAGATGATTGTATTTGATCTGTTTGGTGTTTTAAAAATTGAGCTTTGTGATACACATTGTAGAATTAGGAGATCTTATAAAAATCCAAGGATCTGGCTCCATTTTGCAGACACAGAAAGACAGCTGGTCCCTTTGGAAAGGATGAGCAGCTGTGAGTGCAGCTGGATTATCTTCACAACTTTCTAACATCCTCGGGTCACCCTGCCTCACTCATTCCTGGGGCTCCGTGGATACCTGGGTTTGTGATCCTATCCTCGTGTGTTATTTCCTAACTACACTTCAGGAAAGCAGCCATCCACGGACCTGGCGAGGATGTCATGGGGAGTATGAGTCTCCTCCTAATTGTAGACGCATCTCCTGCTCAGGGTGCAGCTATTGAAATCACAGTATTGTATGTAGTAATCCAAATATTGTGATCCTTTTTCCAATCCACCTCATAATTCAGAAAGTTATGTTCGTAATCCCATAGAAATGTTATTGGAATTCCAGTGAGTTAATTCCAGTCCACCACCTCCAATGCAACCCACAGCGAAAGTAAAGAGACTAAGACCAATGCAAAGTTATGAGCAGCCAAAGGGGTCCTACATCCCATCCAAGTTAGGATATAAGGACAAAGGCCCTGAGCCAAGGCCTCTCCCTGAATTTATTATCTTGTGAAGAATGGAGTGGTTCAAGCATGAGTGACAGTGAGGATGGCGGGAACTGTGTGCATAACCTGAGCTGGGTAGCCATCTGGGGAGAAAAGCATCTTTGCAACATGCAGGGAGAAGGATATACAGAAAGATCAGTGTGTGTAACTCAATTAGGGTAGCATTCAAATGGTTTTGGAAAGCTGTTGCTTCAGTTTCTAATAAGTAAACTTTTGCACCTTGGGGAGTCATGGCTTCTTTCTTTGAGGCTCGTACCCACCTGACGTTGCCGGAGCTGACTGGCTCTGCCATCCGGCTGCGCTCGATCTTTTACAGAGAGCACTATGCAAGGAAACAGGAAACTGTCAGGTTGGCCTCGAGAATTACATACCAGTAGCTTAGCTGGCTTTGTTTGCATCGCTTAGAGCCAATCAAAAGGAGAGGGGAATAACATGGCCTGCTCTGTATATACCAGTATATGGGAATAAGACTGGATTTAGCTAATGTTGCAGCCGTTGTTCTGCATTCGAGGAGAGGTGCCCAGGTTGTCCTCTACATGCAGTGGTGTCCCAGTTGTTCATTTCAATTGCACTCTTTTCTGCCCACCTGACCTCTGAATTCATATCCATCGGTCACCACCTCATTGCCAACTTAAAAGAAGAACTGGTGGGACTCATAGCCTCCTGCAGCGTATGGACGTTTCAGGCCACCTGAAGTTACTCTGATTTGCTCAAGGTCACAAGGCCAGACAGTGTGCGTCTGAGAACTAAAACGCACCCTGTTCATGTCAGTCTGTGCATCTGGCTTTCTCAGCCACATTGGGTTTGATGGTGCCGGCATCCTCTCCTCCTCTAGGAAAGTGCTCTTTTGGTTGATGAGAGTGAGTCAGAAACACTAGATCTTGGCCACTTTGGTCTCTTGCCCCAGATACCTGTCTGTTGACTCGATCATAAGATTCTCTGTTTGAAATTATTGCATCTCCCAGAGATTTCCACCATTTGGAATGGTTAACCAGTCTGCTGTAGAATGGAGACAGATGCTTCCTATTGGATTTGAATTGAGGAGGAAAAAAAAGTTTCTTAGATAAGAGGAATGTGTTGAGCATTTACATAAAGAGTGAAATCAATTTTGAGACGATGTGAATCACAGCACGAGTCCAGATTTAAGCAGTGACTATGAAAGATGAGAGAATGTGTTAACGGATAATCTAGGCCTGTGTTCGAATAAATCCAGCTGTCTGCTAGGATGAACCCAATAAGCAGCAAGAGTCAGTTTGCTGTTTATTTAGTCTTCTCCCTGTTCAGTCACTGGACTCTGCCTCGAGGACTTGGTAGAAATGCAGAATCTCAGGTGCTTCCTCAGACCTCCTATGCAAAAACCTGCATTTTTACAAGATCTCCAGGCAGTTTCCTTTTTGTTCCTGGCAGGCACATTCCTGCGGAACAAATTGGCCCCAAAAATAAAGGACATGTGACGGCCAGTAGGAAACGTTTTTCTTTTCTCCTTGTCTTTCAGCTTCAGCAACCTGTGCTGCTTGCTCTGCGTTCCCCTGCCCCTGCCTTTGTGGTGCTAGGAAACAACCCATTTCCCAGACAAGCCTCTGCCTAGGGCTATGGTCCCATCTCGTCTTTCCTTACTATGTGAGAGCTGCCTGATTTGTTCTGTTTTGTTTTTTGAGGCAGAGTCTTGCTGTGTAATTCAGGCTGGTCTTGAACTCACTGTATAGCCCAGGTTGGCCTCAAACTCTCAGTGATCCTCCTGCCTCAGCCTCCTGAGTGCTGGGACTACAGGTGTACACACACACCCAGCTCAAGAGCTACTTGATGATATGAAAAATAGCCAGTCATAACTCCCCGTGTTTATGTCTCTTGGAATCTTCTGTTACATATGCACAAGTACCTTCTCACCCAATCTGTCTCTCTTGGCTAATGCATTAAAACAAAAGTCCCACACATTCAGTGTTGTTCCAAGTACGATTCTAAACTCCAGGTATAGCTTTCTGACTTTCTCTTAGATCACTGCAGTTTGTCCCAGAACAGTCTGCTAAGCTACCAATTTCAAAGCTTTAGTGAACACCAGATATCTCGCAGAACCACCACAGTTTAAAGGCACAATACACATCAGCTAATTTCTTTTCCTTTAACACTAGGAAGCTATGCCTTTATTTTTAAGTAGTTTTTTTTTTAATTTACAAGAATAACATATAGCAACATTAGAGATCACTAGTTCTAAGAGTGGGAATAAAAGAAAAACAATCAGTTGCTAAATTGTATAAGATTGTGGAGATGTTGAAAGTAGACCTTTAGTTTGTATAAGAAGATCGATCATTACTAGAGGGAAATAAATTTAATGAACTGAGAATAAAGGGACATAACTATGTTTCTGGAGTCTTGATCAACAGTGGTACTGATTTCTATAGGTCAGAAGTGTGCCATGGGTCTTTGCTGTTTTTAGTGTAGCTTTAAATAAATAATGTGTGATTATTCTTCTCCAGATGCTCGAGGAAGTATTTCACAATCTCGATCCTGATGGAACCATGAGTGTAGAGGATTTTTTCAATGGTCTGTTTAAAAATGGAAAATCCCTTACACCTTCAGCATCTACTCCTTACAGACAACTGAAGAGGCACCTCTCCATGCAGGTGAATAGACAGTATTTTCTTTGCAGCAGAAGAACCTGTTTAATAATTTCTAATGAATTAATCTGTTGGTTGAAGCAGCAGACCTAGGAGATTGTACAAAGCACAGAACAAGAAAGACTCAACTATTAGAAAGGAAAAGTTGGGTTAGAAAATGATCATAAATTGCAGACTAGGAAGGCTGTAGATTACACCTGTTAATGTCAGCTTCCTGTCAGAAGTGAAATAAGAGTCTTAAACAGAGACACATCTTGTCTATGACAAATAACTCTGTCTCAGAATAATTGCTTTAAATGATCATTTTAGTCTTGACTTCCTGGGAAACAAAAATCAAAAGCAGTACATGACTCCCACCCCCAGCAGTAGAAGTTAAATTCTGCTTTCTTGTGTTCAGGACTGGCCAGGTCCAGTCTTTACCAGCATCTAGTTGAAATGGCTGGGGTCCCCTGAGTTTGCTCGGTTCTGTTTCTTCCAGTCTTTTGATGAAAGTGGACGTCGTACAACCCCATCGGTAATGACCAGCACCATTGGCTTCCGGGTCTTCTCCTGCCTGGATGATGGGATGGGCCATGCGTCTGTGGAGAAGATCCTTGACACTTGGCAAGAGGAGGGCATTGAGAACAGCCAGGAGATCCTGAAGGTGTGGCACTGAAAGTGGGGAAAAAGATGCCAAATCAGAGAAGCGTTAACATTTTCAGTTTTTCTGAAACTGTGGGATGTGATTTGATTTCTCTTAATTATTGCGTTCACAAGATCTCAGCGATGAGGTAACTATTCCTACCCCCTTTAACCAGGAGCCTGTTGCTAATTACTTTCCATGTTTTGAACTGCCAAATTATCAACATGAGAAATGTTGTTAATTGATCTTGGGTTGGTAGAGACTAGTGTTATATTCTGTCTATATATAGTGTCATGTAGTATTTTTTAATACAAATTACCATGCTGCACTTTTCATAGGAAAAAACATAGTTGAAGATTGTCAGCGTTCATTAAAGAAATGGAGTCCTCCAGTTCCTAGCTGTCTTCAGATCTCACCGTTTGCCTAACCTTCGTCTGCTTTCAAAAGAAAGAACTTGTGATTTGTCTTGAACTTATGCCATCTTCTGATTCCCAGGCCTTGGATTTCAGCCTTGATGGAAATGTCAACTTGACAGAATTGACTCTGGCTCTGGAAAATGAACTTCTGGTCACCAAGAACGGCATCCATCAAGCAGCTCTGGCCAGCTTTAAGGCTGAGATCCGGCACTTGTTGTGAGTTGAGCACAAGGTTCACTTGCTCCATTCTCTTCCCTGCTCGTTCCCCAGAGACTGTGCCTTCCCCAGAGACTGTCCCATTGCATAGGTGATCGTGGCTCCTCCTCTCTATATAACCACTGCACAGATCCTCCTTCCTCTGCGGGAAAGTGAGGCATTGTGATCAGCATATAGGCTTTAGAAGGGAGCCATGGAATACCTTTTGGTTCTGGAAGGGTTTGAGTTGTCTTAGTTTTGTTTTTGCATCAGAGCCAGCCAAATGAGAGCTTTTGGGGTCTACTTGTTGCTTCAAAGCAGCTTCCCACTAACTCAGTTTATTTCTGATTCTAGGGAACGAGTTGATCAAGTGGTCAGGGAGAAAGAGAAGCTACGGTCAGACCTGGACAAAGCCGAGAAGCTCAAGTCCCTCATGGCTTCGGAAGTGGATGATCACCATGCAGCCATAGAGCGGCGAAATGAGTACAACCTCAGGTGTGACCCGGAGGACAAGGTCCAGGCTCCTTTCCCACTCCTCGTGACGCTAGGTAGTGGCACCTGAGACTACAGGCCGGGCACTGGCCAAGGGCTGCTTTGCCTACCTGCCTATTTGGCTATACCTAGCTACAGTAATTTTTATTTTGTTTTTGTTTGATTTTTGTTTTTTGTCTTTTTGAGACAAGGTTCCACTATGCAGCTCAGGCCAGCCTTGAGCTCACTTTGTAGCCAGGTTGGTCTTGAACTCACAAAGATCCTCTTGCCTCAGCTTTCCACATGCTAAGATGACAGATGTGCACCACCATGCCTGGCATGTTTTGTTTTTTTGAGACAGATTTTCACTTAGTAAATTGCCTCCCTGGCTCAAATATTCCATTCTTTTGCCTCAGCCTCCTACAGTGCTGGAATCACAGGCAGTTGCTTCCGTGCCCAGCTAGGGCTGCAAAGATTTAGATGTGACTAGGCCTAAAGATAGGCAGATCGCACTGAGCATTTTTTCAGGGTGCTTTTCGTCTCTGTAACTCTGGATCCATTAAGTGTGAACCCCCAACAGGATCTGCAAAGGATCTAACACCCGCTCGGATTTCCCCTCCTCCCAGGAAACTGGATGAAGAGTACAAGGAGCGCATAGCAGCCTTGAAGAATGAGCTCCGGAGAGAGAGAGAGCAAATCCTGCAACAGGTGGGAAAGCAGCGCTTAGAACTCGAGCAGGAAATCGAGAAGGCCAAAACAGAAGAGAACTACATCCGGGACCGCCTTGCCCTCTCTTTAAAGGTGATCCTGGGCTTTGGGTCCCTGCTTGGGATTCTGCATGGGGAACTCGGGGCTCTGCAAAGCACTGTGTCTGCCCTGGGTTCATTGTGAGGATTCTGGTTCACTTAGCCAATGGGGTCCAGACCACACATAGAAGGGCCCTGCTAGGATCTGGATTTCAGGGGCACCCAGGTTCCCAGGGTAGAGAGAGAGCTTGTGCATCGTACCTTGTCCTCATGGCTGTGTGGCATCTGGGCAACACCCTCAGGCCCCCTTCTCCTTCACTGCCCACTCCCCTTCTACTGAGCAGATGGGCTGACCTCCTGCCCCAGAGACCATGACTTCCCCTTTCCCCTCTCTCCATGGAGGAAACGGTCCTTCTCTTTCCTGGACTCTCAGACCAGGGGGCTCCGGAGTCCAGCTGCCTCATTCAGATCTGGGTACAGTGTACTGGCAACCTATGATCACGTTACTCAAACTGTGTTTCCAAGGGTACCATGGGCACTAGAGTAACATTTGTGCTTTGGCATTAACGTGGGGATTATGTCTGATATTATGTCTGGAAAAGAAGAGCAGTTGGACTGTGTGGCTGCTGTTGCGATTATAAAATGCTCCTGAAACTTCACACATCAAAAGCTGAGCCAGTTACCCCTCCCTACCCATGCAACTGTTTCTTCTCTTGAATTTTCTATCAGTGAACATCACCACCGTGGACTGTACAATCCCAGAAGTTAAAACTCTTGGTTATCCTCACACATCATCGCTCATCAGTTTCTCAGTTGTGTTGCTGCTCTGAAATGCCTTAGGTTTATCCCTAAGCTTCTGGAAAATGCAGAGAAGCTGGCAGAGTACGAGAATGCCTTAGGTTTATCCCGGTCCTCTGCATTTCCTCAGCCTCTGATGGAGCTCTGAATTTATCACGGTTTCTCAGCTGATTCTTGTGTGTCCTTAGAAGTCCTTTTCTCCATCTCTCCTACCCCCATAGGGCCCTCAGAGTTTCCAAGGATTCGCTGTCACACTGGCTCCCTGGAGTGCTAGCGGTCAGGGCTGCTGAGGAGGACCACCCTGCAGTCCTAGCCTCCCTCTCCAGCAGCCTGCACCCTCCGCTCTTGCCTTTGGCTCTTTGTTCCTCACGGACACAGCACTTTTGTACCCTTCGCTGCTTTCCCCAACACTGCAGGCCAAATCAGCTTATCATTCCCACTGTATTTACTTTCCTGTTGCCAGGAAATAGTACATTTATTACCATATCAAGCTGTAGCCACATCTGCTCCCTCCTGCAGTCCAGCGTGTTCCCTGTGGTCAGAAACAGTCTCTGGTTTGTCCATTTTCAAAGCGCAGCAGGTCCTGGGACACAGATTGCTCTTTGTTATTTTAGCATCCAAGTTTAGATGATGTGCTTTGAAAGACTAGAGTCATCGAAATGGCATTTTAGAGGAAGGTAGCATTTTTTAAAAATGCTTTAAGTATATTCTTTTTTACTCCATATTGCTACATGAGGGTGTGAACTAGAATATATTAAAAATATACTGGCTCTGTATTCTTTTGGCAAAATGTATTTCAAAAATAACATTCTTCCAATCAGCCTTGAACATTGGAGAAGAAAATATGGCAAATGGTATGTCTGTATGTTTTTTTTCAAACAAATGTGGGATAGAAATCATTCCAAAAAGTTCTGTAAATATAGATTCTTTAAAATGAAACAAAAAAAACTTTTGTGAGTCTCACTTGTATTATTTTATTATAACTTAAACATAAATGATGAACAACTTGTATTATACCTTTTATAGCCTTAAATCTAAAATAAATTTGTGAGTTAAATGTAAACTATAGAATAAGGAGCAAAAATTGATTTTAGAGTTGCCTTCTTTTTTATAGGTTTTCTGAATTTTTCGGGCAGCTGGATAAGTTATTTTATAGCCACTTTTCTTTCATTTGATGCTATATTGTGAGTATTTTCATGTCACTTACAATATTCTACTGCGATGCCTCCCAGTAGAATGATAAAACAAGCTACATAGGTAACTTCAAATTTGCAAATAGCATATTAAAAGGTGAAATTAATTTCAATCATTTATTTAAATCAGTATTCCCAAAGCATTGTCATTTTAAAATGTATTTAGTATACAAAAATTATTGTGTGTGATATATATATTTTTTTGTAGTCTGGTATGTATTTTACACTTATAGCTCAGCTCAGTTTGTGCTAGGTGTGTTTCACATGCTCAATATCTACACGTGGTCGTCGGTGACTAACACTGAACAGTACAGTGCTATACTGATTTTTTTCTAAAGGCAGAGACACGGCATTATGAGATAAATGTCAACTTTGTTATATTTTCTTGGGTTTCCAAGTATATCCAAGCTTTCAAAAGGACACATTACCTTAACAATTTATGCTTCATATAAAATGGTACAGCTGTTTTCTTATTTCTTCATCTACATTGAATTTCCCCAAATTTCTTCAGGAGAACAGTCGTCTGGAAAATGAGCTTCTGGAAAATGCAGAGAAGCTGGCAGAGTACGAGAATCTAACAAACAAACTTCAGCGGAATTTGGAAAATGTGTTAGCAGAAAAGGTAAATCTGTCTACGTCTGGTTCCCCAGCGGCTGCCCAGCGTGTCACTGACCCAGAAGAACAGAAGCAATGCCAAGAACATTTTTATTAGGGAATTACAGTACTTGGGTGCCTAGCGGAAGTTGAGTCTTTGGCGAGGAGTCATTTAGTGGGGTGCTCTCGGGGCAGACATTGCCTGGCTCCGGAAGTGATCCCAGCCTGAGTGGAGCGCATCCATCGTCCTCCCCAGCTTCTGGTTGGCGGTGTTTCTGTTGAGATGCCACATTCCTTCCATTCTCAACAGAAACCCTGCCGTTTGGTGATAGGTCAAAGAAGGGCACTGCAGAAAAATGACTGCTTTTGCCTCTTTCCCCTCCTAGTTCGGTGACCTTGATCCTAGTAGCGCTGAGTTCTTTCTGCAAGAAGAGAGGCTGACACAGATGAGAACCGAGTATGAGCGGCAGTGCAGGGTGAGTGCTGGGGAGTACTGGGCGATGCTTCAGGGGGCTGGGATCAGATCCCAAGCTGTGCACCCACACCCTCACCTGGCCTGTGGGTGCCTCTGCTTCTCAGCGATGGGATAGCAAAAGGAAGGGTACCCAGCCTGAAGGTTGCTGCGAAGATTCAATGAGTGAATATGTATAAAGTACTTATGCTAGGTACTTACGCAGACATTAGCTAATAAATTATTATTCAGCATGCTTAGCTATAAGGACTTCCACAAAACCAGTGTGAGTGTGCTTCTAGGTCAGAAATCCCTGGGTTTCAAGGAAAATAATGTGCCATCATAGTGATATGCTTATTCCAAAGTTAGCCTTTCCTAACTGATTACTCCTCATTGATCGTACTTGGTCGGACCCAAGGTGTTTTGCCTCCCTTTTTCCGAATACGCACAGCATGAGAAAAGCAGAAATCACTCAAATCTTTAAATGGTAAATCATTTGCAATCCTACCACATTCGTATTAAGAAATCTGTGTTTGTTTTCTTAGATTAACTCCCTTACACTTAGGAATTTGGGGTGGGTCTCCTCTCCGCTTACACCAAAAACACTTGTTTAACAAGGTGAAGATAACTGAGTTCTGATTGCCCTAGATAAAAATTAATTGTGCAGAGATGGGAAAACAGTGACCTCTTTATCAGGTTGTTTCTAGCCTGCCCTTTCAGGAAATAGGTATGCCTATTTGAGAGAAGAAAAGAAACATTTCTACTGCTTAGTTTTTGGTTTTAAGCAGAGTGTTTGATTTAAATGTCTTTAAATTTAATGAATTCATCATTAAACATATCAGTGGTACCTCCCCAAGTCCCCCCCAAAACATGCACTTCATTTAAATAGCTTTACGTGCCATACATTTCACCTACTTTAACTGTACAACTCAGTATCTTTTGTTACATTCACACAGTTGTGTGACAATTACCTCAAAAGGAATCAGTGCTTTGCTTAGTCAGAGTCTTTCCATAGCCCTAGGTAACAGGGCTCCAGATTTGCCTAATCAATTGCCACATTTTATATAAATGGAATTATATTGAGTGTGTCACTGGCTTTCTTTACCTACTGTCTTTGTTACTTTTCTCTCATTGCTGGGACAAAATACTCAACACCCAAAATGTGAGAAGGAAAGGTTTATTTAGCTTACAGTTTGTGGAGGTTTCAGTCCATTCAGTCTGGCTGCAAAGCAGGGCGGCATGGCACTGGGGCAACACTTCAAGGCAGCAGGCAAAGCAAAATGGGGAGAGCAAGTCTGTTTTCCTCCCTTATATTGTACATAGGCCACCCCCACCCCTAATAGAGTGAGTGTAGCACTCACAAAACCTCTGAGCCCTCCTCTTACACAGGATGAGGATATTTACAAAGTAAGGATCCTGGCTGAGTCTCTCAGCTAAACTTCTAAACTTCTCGCGTTGACAGAATGTACCAACCATAACACCTAGCATGGCATTTCAAAGCTCTTCCGTATTGTAGTGTGTGTCATGCATCATCCTTTCAGTGGCTGTGTGGATAGGTCACATTTCATTCATGCATTCATCAGTTAGTGGACTTTTAGGTTGTAGGCACTATTATGAATAATGCTAGGAAAATCTGTGTGCATATTTTTGTGTAGATATATTTTCATTTCTCTTTGATGTATCCCTAGGAGAAAAACTGCTGGGTAAATGGAGTCTGTCTCTAACAATCTGAGAAACTGGCAGATCTCCTGCAAAGTGGTTGGCCACTCCTAGCAGTGGAGTCCATGTTTCTCTGCGGCTTACTTAACACTTGTTATTGTGTGTCTTTTTATTTCTGCCATCTTAGTGGGTGTGAAATGGCATCTCATTGTGGTTTTTATTCACATTTCCCTCATCGCTAATGATGTTGGAATCTTTCATGTATTTATTGGTGGCTTATAGAAGTTTTTTGAGAAATAATTATTTGCAGCCTTAGCTCATCTTTAAATGAAGTTCTTTGCATTTATTATTGAGTTGTAGTAGTCTACATATTCTAGTTCCATGATCTTACCAGATAATGTAACTGTCAAAACTGTTTTCATATTTAGTGAGGTTTTTTCACTTTTTTGATGGTGTTATTTGAAGCACAAAAGTTTTTTAATGACGGTGTCCAATTTATCTGGATTTGTGGTTGTTGCTGCTGCTGCTGCTTGTATTTTTGGTGTCACATCTGAGTCTGGTGGTGGTTTTTTAAACCGCAGGTATTACAAGACCAAGTAGATGAACTCGAGTCCGAGCTGGAAGAATACCGTGCTCAGGGCAGAGTATTCAAGCTGCCCTTGAAGACCTCACTGTCAGAAGAACTTGATGTTAACAACAGTGGCCTTGAGCCCAGCCAGGGTAAATACATTCAGACACCATTTTTTTCAGAGTGTTGGCATGTTTTTAGAACCAAGTCTGAGTGTAAAATTGTAAAACTCTGACAACCTTGGGTGGCTGAGGGTAGTGATAGCACTACTTTTGGGGAACTGTCTCACCTGTGGTCTGGTTTCACATTTATTCTTGAAGTCTTTATAAGAATATTCTACCTGATTTCTGTTCCCATCAACAAAAAAAGTGAGAAAAACAAACTCACAAAGGTATTTGCTTTGTTTAAAACCAATAGTCTGCCAATCGGAAAACCCACGCCTGTGGAGTGCCAGAATTCAGACCCTGTTCGTGCTGACCCCTCCCTTTCTATGGGAGCGCCTCGCTGGTATGAAGATCGTTTTGGAGAGTGAGCCAGCTACAGACCACAGAATCCATAACTGGTTTTCTCATGGTGGCTGTGCTAAATGCTCATATTGCTGCTGCAAAACAGCAAACAAGATAAATAAGGGTTGGTCATCCATTCTTTTAGAGTGACAAGGTTGGAGGGGGAACCCATCTGATAGTTACATCTTCCCTTTCCTCCCTTCTGATAGCCTGCTTCTTTTCTTGAGTGTGTTGGGTTCGAATGTTAGAAAGAACCCGAGCTGCCGCTTGGGTGAGGGTATGGTTTATTCCTCTCCTTGTGCATTGTACATGTACTATAGAAACAGGAGGGGATTAAAGAGCTGGAGCCTAAAAGGCCTTAAGCTTTGTTCTCTGATTCTAGGCTCACTCTCTGTAGTCAGGGTAGACACCATCTGACTGTGTTCCATTCCTGATGCTTTTCCACCCAAGTGGTGGGTGTGCTCTGCGTGCATACATGAAGCCTCATTATCTTGGGGTGGGTTACACCCACATGTTACTTCTCATTTGGGAATATGCCACAGTATAGGTAGACAAGGCCCAGGACAGGTCAGGGAGTCCCAGCTGCTAGACCTGTGCCCATGAAAAATGCCTTTCTCTCATCTGCCTGTGTATCCCTATATGAAAAGACTATTTTGAGTCTCCCTGCCCTGAGGAATTTTTACTTAATAGTCCACATAATACATTTGTTTCTGCACTAGTTCGATCCTTACCCATGCTTCCCATCTTCAGTCCTCATGGGCAGCTACAGAAGTAAACTCACAGGCCAAGCTGAGAACTTCCACCCACACTGCCTATATTCAGATTCCCAACCTGAACGTTGGTTTTGTAGCTGATAATTTAAACTCCTATGGCAATGCCCAGTCTTCTGTAATGTCGAGTGGTAGGTTGAATATTGTGATATGTGACGTCAACAGCAGCAACCATTCACTATCCCGACACGTTCATTCCCTCTGCTAGTGTGTCACTCAGGAACAGCTGGGTGACTCGAAGGCTGATTGGTTTGATTGAAATACCACATGTGGCATGAAGACGGGCTCACCTTTCAATAACAATTTCTGCCGCCTCCCCCACCCACTGTGCAGAGGGATGCTGTTACTAAGGTTACTCAGGTTTGACCCACTTCCTGTCCATGAGAGAATCTGTTCACCTTCATTTCTATTTGTAAAGAGAAGGGACCTCTTGCCTTCTGTTCACCTCTCTGGCAAATCAGGCTGAAAATTATTCCTCCACTAAACCAGAGGCCCCTCTGCGCATGCCAGGTTGGGTTGGAGAAAGAATCTGCTGCAGGAACTGTGAGTCCTGTGTGTTTTCAGGGCTCGAGTCTCAAGAGTGCAATCCATTGAACATGAGCATCGAGGCGGAGCTGGTGATTGAACAGATGAAAGAGCAACACCACAGGGACTTGTGTCGCCTAAAACAGGAGCTGGAAGATCAGGTGAGTCCCTCCTACAACCCCATTTCCTACTCTCTTTGCACCCAGACCACCATTTGCACATGAAATGTTCCAAGTCTTATCATTTCATACAGCAATGCTGTCTGCATTCCTTCTTGTTCCCCTGGCTGCCAGGATCCCACTTCCTCAGGCCAAGGACAGAGCCTTTTTCCTCCCAAGAGAGCTTCTCCAAAATGTGCATAGGATCCAACATTTAGAGGTAGTTGTCTCCAATTTGCTAAAAACCATCTTTATAAAACCAAAAAAAGCCTTTTTGTTGTGGCCTAACTAAAACAGGTACAAGTTCCGATCCTTGGCCTGCCCGTCCTTGACTACGTGGACCCCATCTTCGCTTTCACCATTGCCTGGGTGGCCTGGTCCTCCTCCAGACAGGCAGGGTGCTTTGCTCTTCCCCATCAAACTGTGCCCTCTTTTGCTCGTGCTATTATGATTTCTTTCTTCCTCTTGAAAATCTCCTTCCTTCAGTGTTTATGTTTCCCGTCTCATGAAGCCATTGTTGAATTTCCCAACCAAACACCATTTTTCTCTCCTTTGGCGCCCTGTGTCACATTGTAGCTCTCTTTCCTTTACCTTTTATATTTTGTGTTCTGCCTTGCAAGTGTGCTAGTTGTCATACTCCTGTGTACACTGGCATGTCCTGAATACCAGGTACCACGTATTACCCAACTCTGTGCTCCCTCGAAGCCTGTAGAATATCTTATAGAAGTTGATTAAATACTTGAATTTATTTACATATTTTAGGACCCTCAGTTTGCAAGTGGAGAATCATGGGAAGGTAAAGGAACCTAAACCTGTGTGTGAGAGTCTGCTCAGGTCTTCCTAGAGTTGTTCAGAAACTAGTAAAATTCAACCCAGTTGACAAGTAAAAGCAAACTATGTCTGATGTAAGCAGCTTAGGTCAGGTGCTTTTGAATTAAGTTACTTTGAAACAAAATGAGGAAGTGGGAGCAAAGTCCTTCAGGTGGGACAAAAGTCCTTGCTGTCCCCATTGCCTCCCTTTCCGTGGTCTAAGTTAGAATAATCCTGTGGTGGTGTCACCCTCTGACTTTAGGTGCACCACTATGAAGCGCAGCTGGCTGAGACCCGCGTCACCTGGGAAAAGGAGCAGGAGACCACGAAGGAAAACTATGAGCGTGAAATGCACACCTTGGAACAACAGATAAGTGACCTGAGAAGAGAGATCGCAGAACTGCAGGAGCAGGCGGTGGTGCTGAAGGACACACACCTGGAGGCCACCCGCAGGCATGAGGAGGAGAACCGACAACTGCAAATGGCCTTTGAGCAGGAAAAGAGTCGCCTGCAGGAGGAGCTGAAGCTACAGCACGAGGTGGAGCTCCAGGCCAAGCTGCAGCAGGTGGAGGAGGGATTCCTCCAGGAGAGGGAAGGACTCCGGAGCAGCGCCTGGACAGAAGAGAGGGTGCAGGGCCTGGTGCAGGACCTGGAGCGGGCGCACCAGGAGCAGCTGCACAGCCTGGGGGAGAAGCATGAGCTAGAGAAGGAGGAGCTGAAGCGAGAGCTCTTGGAAAAGCACCAAAGGGAGCTTCAGGAGGGACGGTAAGCAAACCGGGGCACTCTGGTGATCCAGGCACCGCCATCACTGGCTGACTCTGACTCTGGAAGTCCAGTCATTTAGGCAGGCCTAGTAAACCCAGACTGCAGAGTAGCTCATGGCGTGAGTTGAGTCTTTTTGTAATTTTTAACCAGCTCTGTCTTGGTTCATACATGAATTTGCTTTGGGGTTACTGGAACTGGTTTTTTTTGTTTTTTTTTTTAAAGGAAAGACTTCCTGGTATTAAGATTTGCTGGATCTCAGCTGGGCATGGTAGATGTGACCTGTATCTCAGACTGAGGCAGGAGGATCGCTGTGAGTTTGAGGCCAATCTGGGCTACACAGTGAATACAAGCCTAGCCTGAATTACATAATGAGACTCCATCACAAAAAGAAAAAAAGAATGGTCCCAAATATGATCCTTTCTTGGTTCCATCCTGTTGCTTTGTGATAAAACCTATTTATTAGCGGGATTCTGGGCAAAGTTACAGTTCCTCTCAGAAATGGCTCTTTGGGTTCATCTTTCTCATGTGAAATCTCAGATACATTCGAGGACCCTGGCACTTCAAGCACGGAGTGATGTAGAGCTGATTTATTAAATAAGCAAAAGCAGAATGAATATGATTGTTCTGACTTATATGGTACACTGTATGCTTAATAAAATGAAGGGATGTGGTGGTATACAACTGTAATCCCATTTACTCAAGATGGACGCAATAAGGTCATAAGGTCGAGGCCAGCCTGGGCAACTCAATGAGAATCCCATCTAAAAATAAAAAGAGCTGGAGATACAGCTCAGTAGTAGAGTGTACCTGGGTTCGGTCCCCTGTATCTCTCTCTCTCTCTCTCTCTCTCTCTCTCTCTCTCTCTCTCTCTCTCACACACACACACACACACACGCACACGCACACGCGCACACACACATTTTTCCCAAGGTAGGAGTTATATCAGTGTGCATTTCATGTGGTTTAAAAATCCAAGAATATGCTAGGGAATTTTGTTCATTAACCACCCCCCTCCAACATGGGAGAGAGGTAAGTCTTCCACACTAAGCTGCCAGTCTTAGCTCTCAGAAATGAGATCCCTGCCAGTGCACATGATCACAAACGAGCTAAGACCATGTTTAGAGAGCATTTCAGTTTGCCTGGCAGCCATCTCCCTGCATGGGGAAATGTGTTTTGTTTGCTTCCGGAGTTGGCAGCAGTTTCAGTAATGCTGTATGTTGACCACATCTAGGGAAGAGATGGAAACAGAGTGTAATAGAAGAGCCTCTCAGATAGAAGCCCAGTTTCAGGCTGACTGTGAGAAAGTCACCGCCAGGTGCGAGAACACGCTGCAGAGCCTGGAGGGCCGCTACCGCCGTGAGCTGCAGGACCTCCGGGAACAGCAGCAGGAGGAGAAGTCCCAGTGGGAGTTCGAGAAGGACGAGCTGGCCCAGGAGTGTGCCGAAGCCCAGGAGCAGCTGAAGGAGATGCTTCAGAGAGAGAAAGCAACCTCCCTGGTCCTGACCCAAGAGAGGGAGATGCTGGAGAAGACATATAAAGAACACCTGAACAGCATGGTGGTGGAGAGAGAGCAGCTTCTGCGAGACCTGGAAGACCTGCGGAAGGTGTCTGAGAGCCAGCAGAGCCTGCTGTCCAGCCAGATCCTCGAGCTCAAGAGCAGCCACGAGAGAGAGCTGAGGGACCGAGAGCAGGTACTGTGCCAGGCGGGGGCCTCGGAGCAGCTGGCCAGCCTGCGGCTTGAAAGGCTACGTGAGGAATGTGACCGGGAGAAGCAGGAACTGGTGGCCAGAGTTGTGGCTGTGGAGAGTGCCCACCACGCCACCTGTGAGAAGGCAGAGCGAGAGCAGGCTAAGATGAGCGCGGAGATCTGCAGGCTCCGGGATAAAATACAGGATCTGCAACAGGCAGCATCTCCTGTCTCCGGGCTGCAGGGTGATCATCAGGCAATGGGAGGGGAGGAGGCGGAAGGAAGTGGAGCCTTGTCCCTGCTTCAGCAAGGGGAGCAGCTGCTGGAAGAAAACGGAGACGTCCTCCTGAGTCTGCAGAGAGCTCACGAACGCGCGGTGAAGGAAAACGTGAAAATGGCTGCTAAGATTTCCAGATTGCAACAAAGGCTGCAAGAGCTAGAGCCAGGGTCACTAATGTTGTCCTATTTAGAGGAGCCAGCAACTGAGCTTTTTGGAAATTCTGCAGAACGAGCAGAATCATTTTCACCACAAAACCGAGTGAAGCGAGTATACAGTGGAAACACACAGAGCATCCTAAATGATCTGCAAGACAGTGATACCCGGGACCTGGGGAGCACAGGGACAAGCTCTGCTCAGAGACAGGAGCTCAAAGCTGAAGAGTCTGAAGCCTCCATGGAGAGTTTTTCGGAGCTTGAAAACAGTGAAGAGACCAGGACTGAATCCTGGGATCTAAAAAATCAGGTTAGTCAGCTTCAGCAGCAGCTAGTGATCTTACGGGCAGATTGTGACCGAGCCTCTGAGAAGAAGCAGGACTTGCTTTTTGATGTTTCTGTACTAAAAAAGAAACTGAAGATGCTCGAGAGAATCCCAGAGACGTCTCCCAAGTATAAGTTGTTGTATGAAGATGCTAGCCAAGAAAATGACTGCCTACAGGAAGAGCTGAGAGTGATGGAGTCTCGCTATGACCAGGCTCTGGAAAGCAACAAAGAACTCACCGCAGAAGTGTTCCGGTTGCGGGATGAGCTAAAGAAAGCAGAGGAAGTGACCGAAACATATCTTAGCCTGGAGAAGAGTTACGATGAGGTCAGAACAGAAAACAAAGAGCTGAATGTTCTGGTTTTGAGGCTTCAAGGGAAGATTGAGGAGTTGCAGGAAAGAGCGGACCTGCATGATGACTCCTTCTCCTTGTGGGAAGCCCGTTTGGACAACCTGGAAGTCAAACCTGCAGAACAGGTTCTAGAAGTTGGTCAAAGGCTGGAAAAGTGCATGCCCAAGGTGACAAGTGGACGCCACATCACAGAAGAATGTAAACAAGAAAACCAGTGCCTTGAGCAGGGAAGCACGCGGCTCTTGGAAAGAGTAAAAACACACGAAATTGCCTGGTTACACAGGACCATTGAGACACATCAAGAAAAGTCTGGAATACAGAATCCGGTTTTCCTAGAGGAAAACTCTGCTCTCTTAGGCCTTCAAGACAAACATTTTCAACGTCAGACCACAATAGCAGAGTTAGAGTTGGAAAAACAAAAGCTACAGGAGCTGACCAGAAAGCTGAGGGAGCGAGTCACTACGTTAGTTAAGCAGAGAGATGTCCCTTGTCAAGTGGAGAAGGAGGAGGAACTGAAATCCATGATGCACGACTTGCAAATCACATGCAGTGAGATGCAGCAGAAAGTCGAAATTCTGAGGTAATGTATGTATGTCCTACGCCACACAGAATCCCGCAGAGCACCCGATCGACTCTAACCTCCGCTGCTTGCCCTGCCTAGAGAAACTAACCTGTAGTCTCCAAGAAGAGAGCAGTACCTAGACCTCCTCCTGCTTCTGTGTTGTATTAACAAGTAGAGTAACCTTGCTAGGAAGCCTCCCCTGCCTCAGAGCAAGTGAATGTTGGGCATAAGAGGTGTGAAAGTTCAACATGGCTGTGTGTGTGCTGTTCAAACAGTGCATCCTCGGCATGCGTCTCTCACTCCCTTCTAGCACTTTCTGCGTTTGAATGGAGTTGTTGTTTTGCTCAATGTTGGTTTTTTCTGATTTGGATGAAACATATGAGAGTGAATGCTTTTTGTGTATTATTAACTCACTTGGTAGCTAAGAACTCATACTAATATAGGAAAAATAGTTCTTTGTTTACATCACTCAGTGTGTGTGCTGACATTCTGTAACAATGAAAATTTCTCTTAGAACATAGAATTTTACCAAGAAGCCACAAAATCTAATAAGTATGCTTGAAGAATAAAGACATAGGCAGAAACAATTTGAACCACTCCTCACTTGATTTTATGATTGCATTAATTTGCTAGCAAAATTGGTTTTTTAAAAAACTTATAAAATATTACATATTATATCTTTAGTATATTAATGATATGAAACAAAAAATTATTTTAATTTTGAATGTAGTTATTTTCTGAGGTCATTTTTAGTTGAAAACATTAGAGTGCGATACATAAGATCACAAAATATAGTATACATATTTCAGTGTGGCCCTTTGATTTATGTTTTAAATTTTTTTTCCATAAGTACCTCAGGCCAGAAACGAAAGCTCATGCATCTTGGTAATACAGCTAATGTGTATTCAGTTGCGGGAGAGAAAAATGGAGTCCTGCTCAAAGCAGTGTGCCTGGCATTAATAAGACCAGCAACCAGAGTTGGCATTCGTGTCAACCCATGTCTTCAAGCTCACAATTTTTTAGCTACACTTTCCTAACAACTTTTAGTGAAATTCCTACTTCCCCGAAAAGTGAGTCAGTTTGTCATGAGTTAATTTCCAAGTACTAGGAGACTACTAATTTAGACTTCTTCTGATTGGCAGGGAATACTTACTTTATTGAAAGTTACTAGAAAATATTTCCCGAAGATGCCAGATGACTGCCTTGTTGTAACTCTTTTTTTAAAAATCTCTGTACTTCAGATATGAATCTGAAAAGCTTCAAGAGGAAAATTCTATTTTGAGAAGTGAAATTACTACTTTAAATGAAGAAGATAGCGTTTCTAACCTGAAATTAACTGGCTCTCAGGAAGAAATGTGGTAAGACAAAGTACACTTAAATTTTCTTAAGACATTTAGCCAAAACTAAAAAGCTATTTAACTTCAATTTTTAAAACCTAATTCTTAAATTAAATTCTCGTTGTTCCTTCAGGCAGAAAATAGAAACTATAGAACAGGAAAAAGTAGAAATTCAGAAGATGGTTGAAAATTTAAAGAAACAGGTAAAGAAACACACAGTATTTTCCTGGATTTCTTAATTCCAAAACTTTTATTTGAAATAGAGTGAATACATTAGTAGAATAACATTACTAATGATGGAAGCCTGTAACTTCTGACTTTGAAGTTGGAAACTTACTTTATATTGAGTCTAAATCAGATTTATGTTTTTTGCAAAATAATGTATGTGCTATTTCTTTGGGAATGGCGAGACCCGAACACCAGCTCCAGCCCTTGTGTAGTTTCTTCTTTCTCTTCTTACCAGACTAAAAGCAGAAAGTCAAGGGTAGAACTTCACAGCTGCAGGCTGCCAGCTCATCAGCATATCGCTTCGCAGAACTATGATTTATTCAGATGGCTTGTGTCATTCAGTGCTTATGTTATACACCCTTACATCGCGCTTCAAATATAGGAAAGCCATTTAAGCGTATGTGTGAAAGAGTCAAAAGACAAGGACATACTGGGAAAAGAATATTGTCAGCAGTTAAAATAGCCAAGATGTCAATATCCAAACTATATTTTATACTCTTAAAAATAAATGGCAAAACTGAGTTGAAAAGGCAGTCGATGTGAGTGATCAAATCATAGAAACATACAGCATGGAAAAAGCTAGCTATCCCCGCAGTGATTAGACGGTAAGATTCCCCCCACCCCCACTACCTACAACCCAGTTTTTGTTTTTTTGGGTATTTTTGCTTTTTGAGACAAGGTCTCCTAGGCTAGGGAGTTAGCTCAGCGGCATAAGCACCTGCCTTGCAAGCAGGTAGTCGTGAGTTCGATCCCTGGTACCAATAAAAACGAAATACACAAAAAAAAAAAGGAAAAGAGACAAGGTCTCCGCATGTCATCATTTTTCCCCTATTAAGCTAGAAAAAAAGTTTAAAGATCGGTAATATCTAGTATTAACAAATGTATGAGGAAATAAATTATTGATGGGTAGCACTGTAAGAGAGACATTTTAGTGATCAAAACAGTAATATATATTCATCCCTTCTAATCCAGCAAATCACTTCTAGAAAAAAAAAAAAAAGATCCTAAATACAACATGCTACCATGTATAAATGGATTTCCCACAAGGTCATTTTGTTTCTTCCTAATTAAGCCTATATTCCTATCAGTGCAAACCTGAATTCTTACTAGTGCATTAGTGGATGAATGCATTATGAAAAATCTTGCTGCGTGGAATATTTTCTAGCCACTAAAAATGTAGCATGCGGTGGTTTCTAAACACACCAATTTAGAAAAAGATAAGCATCTGCAAGATTTTATGGGTGGAAAAACGAGCTTTGCGAATGTTGAATGATCCAATTTTTTTTTCTAAAATGCAAAGAGAACTTCTATATGCGTATGCGTTTCGTGCATGCATAGAAAACGATCAGGTCGCATGCATCCCCTGCCCTGAGCATTGGGATGCCCCAGGGAGGGCGTTAGACTGTGTCCTACTTCTTCATGCACTTCTGAGTTGGTGGAATTTGTAATAATGAGTATGTATTCCTTCTGTCACTACATGTATACATTTTTTAAACTTTACATAGAAAGGGAAAAAATAATTAGGCTCTAAATCTGTTTTTCAACAGAAGCAGGATAAGAAGTTTTTAAAACTTATTTCAGTTTTAATTAGATTTCAGATTTGAAAATCAAAAACCAACAGTTGGATTCAGAAAATGCAGAACTTAGCCAAAAGAATTCTCAAAACCAGGAAGAGCTGCAAAAACTTAATCAGCGTCTGGCAGAAACGCTGTGCCAGAAGGAAAATGAGCCAGGAAACAGTACATTCAAGGAATGGGAGCAAGAAAAGTCTAATCTGAAAAAAGAACTGGAACATTGTAAAGTACAGGTACGACGCATACCTCCTAATGGATTTTTTTTTAAGAATATACCAAGAAATGGAAGAAATGCTCATAATAGATTTCTTATCCATAAAGCCTTAATAATTAGAACAGTATGACAATGGTATATTAGTGGATATTCATATAGATATTAATGTTAATTATCTAGATAGATAAGCAGAACAGAAAGTCTAGAATTTAACCCAGCTCAAACTCAGTTAGCTCTCATATGTGAATTCTACATCCATAGATTCAGTCAACATCTATTCAAAAATATTTTTTAATTGTAGCTATGCTGAACATGAACAGAATTCTTTTTCTTGTTATTCTCAAAACAACACTGTGTAACAGTTATATTTATCTAGCATTTACCTTGTGCTAGGTATTCTGAGTAGCCAGGATATGCGTTAATAAATCAGGAGACTGAGGTTCTGTGTAAATACTCTGCCTCTTTGGATAAGGAACTTGAGCTCCTGAGGATTTTGGTATCTGAGGAGGTCCTGGAAACAGTCCAGATGGGGATACCAAGGATGACAGTATGTAACCAAGCTGGCTTCTCAACCCCTAGGATGAAGATGGACTTTTAAATAAATAGTGTCTGACCAGCTGGATAGACATCTGGAAGCAGAGATAATTAGATCCAGATTTCATAATATACACAAGGATAAACTGAATTGTGAGTCTATATATAGAAGATTAAACTGTAGTAGTACTAGAAAAAAAAATGAGAGTGAATTTGTCCTTAACATTGATGTGAAGAAAGACTATTGATGGTGACACATGCCTGTAATTCTGGCACTCTGGGAGGCTGTGGCAGGAGGACTGCAAATTTGAACCCAGTGTGGGCAGTTTAAGTCAGGATGTATCCAAAATAAAAAGTGGGCTGCGATTGTTGCTCAGTACAGAGGCCTTGGGTTCAATCTCCAATGTCACCAGATGGATGGATGGATGGATGGATGGATGGGTGGGTGTGTGGGTGCACAGGTGAGCTGGCTGACTGGCTAGCTATGACTCAAAATCCAAAGGCAGTAAAAGAAAAATTACATTTTTTAAAAAGTTTGTTTGCCAGGAAGGTGTCATAGCGTGTACCTATAATCAGTAGCTACTGCAAAGATAGAAGCAGGGTGTTCACAAGTTAGCACCAACCAGGGCACATTAGTGAGACTCTGTCTCAAAAAATAAAAACAGCAGTACCCTTGGTTCAATCCCTAATACTACAATCAAGCAATCAACTTGTTAAAATTTTGCATGGCAAAAAATAGTCAAATGACAACTGAAAAACTCACATAAAATATTGTAATATAAACCATAGAAAGAGGAGCTAATATCTGTACTAGTAAAGAACTCTTAAAGGACATAAGAATATCTGAGCAAAACGAGAGAGACATATACAAACATTCATATGAAAGCTAAAAAATGCCCCTTACACCTATCAAAAAAAATATTGAAATATCATCCATAGAGAAGTTCAAATTAAATAATACTATATTATTATTTATACATATACTATATATACTATACTATATATACTAATGCATATACTATATATGATTCCTCACCTAAAAGGCAATAATTAAAAATCTGACAGTGTTTTCTGCTGACAAAGCTGAAGCAAATGGATTACCATATCATGGCCCAGCAATCTCGCTTCTCTGCATCTACCCTACAACAGGTGGAAATTCATATGCCTGGGGTTGTTCAATGTAGCACTGTCCCTAATCGCAAAATACTATCATCTAGATGTTGGGTACACAGAAGAGTGATTAAGGAAATGTGGTGGGTACATTCATACTGATGGTACTACACAACTGCTAAAATAAAAAACTACCTATATGAAATAATTTCTAGCACATAGCATTAAACGAAGAAAGTGCAAAAAAGCATTGGTAGTATACCTTCATGCAAGTGAGAAAGGAGGAGACATTAGAAAACACAAGGAATACGGGAGGATAATCCAGACACTGATGAGATGGTTACCTATAGAAAGTAGTGGGAAAGCAAGAAACTGAGAAATAGTAATAATAGTAATAGGGATAAAGAAGGGTGGTGACATTCTCTGAGTTTATCTTTGCAATTCATAATCTGTGTGAGTGTGCACACGCACGTGCATGTGTGTGTGTGGTGCTAGGACTTGAACCTGGAGCCCTGGGCATGCTTGGCAAGCACTGTGAACTGAACTACATCCCTAGTCCTATTTCACAACCTTTAAATACTCTGAAATGCACAAGTAAAACCAATGGAGATCAGGGGCTGGTGCAGAATATTAAAAAGAAACATAAACTTTAGCAAATAAACCTAAAAATGGGACTAATAGCATACTAGAGAAGAAAAAAAAAGAAATTTGGAAATTAGCATCTTGACGAAATATTGTCCAGACTAAAGACAAAGATGCTATATGTAGATGCTAGAATAATGTCAGTAACTGATTTTCATGGGGTTATGAGTCAGTAATTCTATAGTTGATTCATATATGCAAAAATTGAAAACATAAATAACTATGTTGCAGAGAGGAAGAGCTGAGTTTCTTACTACTGGAGAAGGAAGTTGCCAGTGAGGGCTGAGATGAACCCTCTGATGTTGGTCTGTGATCTGAAGCATTAGTATGAATTCACGGTGTCTCTGTCCAGACAGAGCCAGAGACACACAGAACACAAATGTGTGTGTGTGTGTGTGTGTGTGTGTGTGTGTGTGTGTGTGTGTGTAAGGAGCACATCCAGGATGGTTTCTAAACCCCATTCTCCTGCAAAAGGAACCATGGAGAAATCATTGATTACCGAGCTGGGACTGAGGGAAAGCACAAGGTGAGATGAGCCTAGAACTTCTCATGCTACCAATAACAAAAATGGGCTTTAAAGAAAAAACAGGGCAAGTCAAGAGAGCACAGGCCCCAGCCTGAAACAGCTCTTGAACCATTTGATCAACAAAATGAAAGTAGTCTAGGAGAAAGCAAATATAAAACACAGGATCTAGTAAATATCTAAGTCTATATCAGTATAAAATTGATAACTTTACTGGGAGACAACAGCTCTTTCTTACTGGAATCTAATGAATAAATGTAGAAAGAAGAAAACAGAAAATCATCCTTAAGCAAACAGCTAAGTAATTATTGTAGCCGAAATCCATGGACACACACTAAAATCAATACATAGGAGTTTGAGGAGGAACAGGATTGGCATAGTCTGGAAGTATCTTTACCTTGGAGAAACGTGTGAAAACTCCCTTAGCAATGGTGTTCATGCCGCTTATGGAAAGTCTCTGAAGACGGCATTGGTTAGACGGATGGCGCATAAGGTTAAACGGTCATAACTCGGCTCTCATTGAACCTGCTGTTTCTCTGATGCTGCCTTTTGGGAACCTAGTCGGTCTCTGCAGCCTGAGTGAAGATGTCTGTCGCCTGACTTCTTCATTGTTTTCCTTCTAGTCCTCCACATTAGTGTCTTCTCTGGAGGCAGAACTGTCTCAGGTGAAAATGCAGACCCACGTGGTGGAGCAGGAAAACCTCCTTCTCAAAGATGAGCTGGAGAGAATGAAACAGGTAAGGCTGCTCGCTCTTCCCGGGGCTTCGTGGGACAACACAGAGCCAATGGTCTGATGTTTTTAGCCACCAAATCTCCCATGCCCCGAGTCCTGTCAACTGGCTTAGGGCTTAGAAAACTCAAGGACTTGGAGTACAACTGTTTACAAAGGCTAATTCACTGTGCTTTGTTTTATGGTTCTGTATAGCTCTATAACTTGCTTATGTGATAGGTCCTAAAATCCCATTAATATAAATGAATCCCAACCACTTCAACTTAAGAAATTCGTTGTTCTACTTACTCTCAGCCACGTGATGAAGTAACATTTCTTTGTCTAAACAAAGGTGGCTTTCTTGCTCCTAATGTTCATCACTGCTTCCACTCTGATTTGTAAGGACACAAATGAAACAGTTGCCTCTTAAACTTCCTCCTGATAGCAAGTTTGAAGCATCTGACCTAAGCAGAATAAACCCCACAGCTCTACGAGGGGTACACTCTCACTAACAAATGTGGCTTTCAGAGTTCCACAAAAAGACTTAATTTTAAGTATAAAGGAGCATAAAACTATTCCCTAAATACTGCCCTATTTTATTCTTTTTTATTATGGAGTCCTTCAGTTGAAACAACACTGATTCATAGGAAAGTTAAGTTCCATTTTATTCATTTGCTCCATCCCCAGATTACTTTAATATTATGGCACCCTACTTGAGCATGGTGGCACATGCTTGTAATTGCTGCAGTCTGGGAGGCTGAGGCAGGAGAATCAAAAGTTGGAGTCCAAGGCCAGGGATATAGCTCAGCAGCACAAGTGCCTTCCTGGCAAAGCATGAGGTTGAATTCCAACCGTTGTACCAAAAAAACCCCAGCAACTTGGAATCCAGCCTAGGCAATTTAGCAAGACCATCTCAAAGTATTTAAAAAAAAGGCGGGGGGCAGCAAGTATATGGCTCAGTGCCAAGGCTTAGGTTCTATCCCCATTACCCCCCTACACACAAAAATTATGGCACCTTTAGATCGTTAAATTATAAAATATTTGTTCTTAAATCTGTTCAGCCTGTAAGCATAAATGCATTCTTCACCTAAATGCTGAAACACTGAATCTAGTTTATGTTTGTGTTCATTTCTGATTAACTCATGTAAACATTGCATACCTAATTGGATTATAAATGTGCATGGTGTTTGTGTCTCTGGTAATGCCCCATGCAGTTCTGATACCCCGCAGATGCTTATAAGAACATTAGTCAAGTTCTGCTGTAACCAAAGAAACTGTCCCACACAAACATACGGAAGTTAAAACTCACAGTTCTCGGTGGTATCTGAGTATCCCAAATCTATCAATACCAACTTTTTACTAAATTAACTTGGGCACCCTTATATTGTATACATTTGGAAAGTCTTGTTGTTCAGTCTTGGAAATGACCATGAGCAGTTTCAAAACTGTAGCATGGCACATGCGTGCTTTGTAACACTGCTAAGCTAGAGAAGGAAAAGAGTGAAGTTAGGAGAGATGGGCACATCGCGCAGTACATTTCGTTACATATTTGTTAAAGGCATTGGTATAAACAGTAAGATGGAAGAATAGTGAGGTTTGCCTGCCTTTGGTAGGAAATTGCTTTTTTGGATACCAGGGCATAGAGTAAGGTGGTGACAGCCCAGCGTTAGTATCATATGGCTTGGACTCGTGTGTGCTGCTCAGTATGATACCATGACTTATATAGAGCTCATGCAACACTTTAGCACATGCTACTCGCTGCATTGAAAAGAAACACAGCATCTGCAAATTTGCACACCCATTCAATAGACCCCCAAATTGGTGTCAAGCTTTCTGGGTGCTCACAAAGTAGGGGTGGCAATATAGTGGGTAAAGGAAGGCTTTCCTTATATCAGTGTCAGATACTTCAAAGTACATTTTCCTATGTCCTCCAACTTGTTCAGATTTGTCAATATGTTGGATTCGTTGCAGTTGGAGATAAGATTCAGCTGGTGAACTGTTTTGTCCTATTGCTAAAACTAAATATGAAAGAATTTCAGGTAGGAAGTACAAAGCTGGCCGTATCATAATGATGAGAACTGAAGATGCAGGGTCAGGTGCATAGGAAGAAAGTTAAAGCTTTCACAGACTATGGGAAAGGGTTACACGGTGTAAGAAACAGCCTCTTTTAAGGAGTGGTTCTCAGTCAGGTTAGGGGGTAAGGATTGCTCCCCAGCCCCAGGATATTTTTGGTTTTTATCAGCAGGAATGATAATATTACTGGCACCTAGTGGCTAAAGCCAGAGATGGTGTGAAACATCCTAGAATATACAGGATAGCCCCTTCTCCCTAAAATTATTGAGTCCAAGGTGTCCAGCAGTACCAGCAGTAGTGCTGAAAAGTAACAAAGCCAACTGCTTTGCCATGGTCCCATATGATAGAGCAGAGGAAACCAGCATGTCTTACGTGGGCACCTCTCTGGGAAGGGCACTTGGGACAAGCTGAAAAATACTGCTGGACCCTTAAACCTGCCCTTGTGTTGCTACCTTGCATGTGGCTCCTGCATGTGGCTCCTGCCAGTGTTAGTCTTGACTGAGATTGTTTTTGAGAAAAGAATTACCAGGTTAAAAAGCATGGAAAGAATGTTAGATTGATGGCAGAATGTCAGTGCGTTCCTCTACCCTGAAGTGTAAAAGGATTCTTATTAACAATGTCTTTTCATGTCCATCTGCAGAGACATTTCGGCCATCAACAGGGGAACAGAGGGAAGCCAGGGGAAAGAGTTTGTTAAAGTGAATTCTAGTCTGTGGAGTTTATAGGCGCCTATCTGGATAGGGAAATGCACTGTTTATAAATACCGTGCCCCTCTGAAATACAGGCAAGAGGCGATACACGGCTCATCTGTGTCTCTCTTACAGCTGCACACACATCCTGACCTGTCGGACTTCCAGCAGAAAATTTCTAGTGTTTTAAGCTACAACGAAAGACTGCTGAAAGAAAAAGAAGCTCTCAGCGAAGAACTGAGTAGCTGTGTGGATAAGGTAGTATTGAGCAGAAAGAGTTCACCATCACGGTGGAGTGGTCCTGGGCTGGACAGTAATTCACAGGCCATGAGAGCGTGATCATCCCAGAGTGTCCTGAAATAACATTTTAGAATTCAGAGGTGGTGTGATTGACCCTGGGTCTCATGAGACCGAGAGATTGTGACATAGTCTCATTCTAACACATCAGGATGCCGATATATATATCTTCTACATAATAGAGTTTTTAATGATGTAAGATCTATTTCATAGTCACACACTTTGTTCTGTTATATTTTCCCTAACAGGTCCACAGTTACTGCTTTGTCCCCACCTGCCTTGTGGGCATTTTTTTTCTGTTACATTACAATCTTGAAACTTCTGATTTATCTTCCAGTTCATCACTTCCCACCCTCAAAATATGAGGCAGTGAGGGGAAAAAATGTCTATATCTATATTTATATCTGTGTCTATATCTTATTCTCCAAAAAAGAGGAGACTCCTCACAATCCATAGAGTCATGAAAACTACTTCTTTATTGGACCTTGCCCTGCCCTGCCACTTGCTCTGGACGTGTTAGTGGAGGCCTATCCCTGGAAGCTAGATGTTTGCAAAACTGCCCCCTTAGCTTTCTTTTCTTCCTGAAACAGTTGGCAAAATCAAGGCATTTGGAGCACAAAATTGCTGCCCTGAAGCAGGAACAGACATCTTGGGAGCATGAGAATGAGGCTCTGAAGTCCCAGCTGGCGGACTCCCAGGACAAGGTGTGTGTGTGGACCTGTTTCACTTCCACGTTGACTGTTCTCCTCCATCGATAGCTTAGTGGGAACAGGGTCCCGGGTGGGAGCGACTTCAGAGGGCTCACAGTAATTCCACGGGACCTAATTTGACACATGTTCAGAGTGTGGTACAATAATACAAACAATATTTCCCATAAAGTCCACTGATTATGAGATTACTTATTATGAAAGCTTGAGGATAATGTACAAAAGTTACTATTTCTAAATTTAGAAATGGTGTGTCTGAAGCAGGTCCATGCCCTGTTAAAGATCTTTCATTCCTTTTACAAATTTAAATGTATTTATTGAAACCTATTTGAGATAATAATGTGAAGATTCTGCAAATATATATTATTTTCAATTAAGAAGTCCCTTAAAAACCAACACCGAGGCTAAAACACAGTTTCTACCAGATTCTACGAACAAGATCATTTTCTGTTGCTTAGCATTTATTGGCTCTCTCAGCCGTCCCTTGGCCCTACTGGATAACTATCAGTGATACACTGCTCAGCTTAATCATTTTCCTAAATATGCTTTAGTGTCCTACAAATAAATATAATATTCTGGGATTCCAGAACATTATACTGCACAGAGAAGTGGATGTAGCAAAGAGAACCAGAAAGGACCTTGGGGTTGTTTTATCTTTGTTCATTCATTGCTGGACACGTGGAGGGTTGGAGTAGCGGTGTAAGACTGTTGTTATCGTGTAGGTTCAGGGTCTAGAAGATACGCTGCAGAACGCCAACCTTCAGATGTCTCGAATTAAATCTGACCTTCGCGGGACTCAGCAGGAAAAGGAGGCTTTAAAACAGGAAGTGATAGCTTTACAAAAACAGCTTCAGAATGCTGCTGGTGACAAGGTGATTTCTTTTTTGTTTTACTGAGTTACAAGTTATTTATGATAAAAAGTGTAAGTTTTGGCCTGTATTTTGATCCGTTTTACATGAACCTATGTACATGTAAGTGAATGAATATTATGGTGTATATATAGTATATTTATATATAAAATAGAAAGGAATGCCCTTGTGTACGTTTGTGTCACCCCCACTTAGATCATTTCTGGCACCCAAACTGTTCCCTGGTGTCCCTTTCATTTGATAACCTCAAGGGACCCACTTTTGTGGGATCCTCTGTGTCCGCAAGTTACGGAAGCTTTGTTTCTGGACCTCATATCAGTGTCACTGTCATTATACCAGAAGGGTCATTTTGGTGTTGAACAAGTTTAAAAGATCATGGCTGAGTTGAGTTTCACGGTAATCAAACTAAAATATTTTCAGACTGTTTGTAAATGATAAGAACATTCATATGACCCCAAAAATTAAGCCAAAGAAAACATTGCAAGAAATTAATCTAGGAGCACATAAGTACATACACACACGCAGAGCAAAAAAGTAAACTTTCTACTGTAAAGAAAAACTGGCACTAAAACAATAGGACTGAACTCTGGGAGCTAATTTAATTCATCATGCCGTGCCCTAATGGGTTGTTGCTCCTATGAATCATCAGTAAGTCCAGGAAAAGCTGGGTGAGGGCTTAGTGATCGTTAGAAACCACATCTCAACTTAAAATATAACAATGCTGCTTAATCCGTGCGCAGAGAGATTAAGTACAGTGTTATGAATGTTACTCTTAGGGCAGATGTTAAGATTTTTGTCCTACAATAAAAATAGGAATGAATTCCATTTTTCTTCAATCTTGTTATATTTTTAAAATAAGATCATTATTTCTATCTTAAAATTTTTCTTCTGGGCTGACATTTTTCTCAAAATGACATTGTAACTTTTTTTTCTTCATGTTTGGCTTAAAAGGAAGGAGTTTTTATCTAGTTACGTTACCTGTTTTTGAAAAGTTATTTTGAGGGTAAAAATAAAACATCCTGGTAGCTTAAAGCATATTCCTGAATCTAGGCCTCAATTATGTGGACAGTATGTGCTTTGAATTCTAAAAAAGGGAGATGATTGCATATGTGAACATAAAAATAGAGCTCGGCCTGTGAGCTTTCAGGTTGTCAGTGCCTTTCAGAGTGACCTTTCTCTCCTCTGGTAATCAAAAGGGTGCTGTATTGCCTGGATCCAAAGCAGCTTCCTACCAACAGGGCAACTTTTAAGCCACCAGCCAAGCACTTCTATCCTTTCTAGAACTGGAATTTATATTTCAATCATCTGCTATTAGGCTGTGCATGGTGGTTCATGCTTGTAATCCCAGCACATGAGAGGCTGAGGCAGGAGGATCCCTGCAAGTTTGAGGCCAGCCTGGGATACATAGTGAGACCCTATTAAAAAAAGAAAAAAATCATTTGCTGTTGAACTTATCTGGGCTGTTTTGTCAAAGACCATATTAAATCTAGTGCTTCCAAACCTTTTGTTTAAAAATCAAATTCCAAATGTACTTTTTAATTCATACCCATGACTACGTACATATTTGAAGACAAAGGTAAAGGTTTGCTAAGAATTGTCATTGCGTTGTGTCTATATGCCATTTTCCCACAGTGAATCATTATGTACTTACAAATAAGTACTTAAAAAGAAAGTAGGTAAATAGGAAACTTTTCCGCAGCAGAAATTGGCCATCCGTGTGTTTAATGCTGCAATTTTCTCTTAAGGCCTGGGCCCTGGAAACAGCCACACATCTACCAGGGGCCCAGAGCCAGCAGCCAAGGCTGTCTTGGGAGAGGCTGGAACACCTGATGCATGAGGAGCAGCAGCCTCTCTGGCAGGAGAACGACAGGCTGCAGAGCATGGTGCAGAGCACCAAGGCGGAGCTCTCGCACTCCAGGGAGAAGGTAACTTGAAAGGCTACGTGGGGTCCCCGGCTGAAATGCTCACTGTGATGTAAAAATGCAGCTTCGCTGTGAGGAAATGGATCTGGGGTTCAGATCTGAGTATCTTGCTAGAGCAGACTTACTCTGGGAAGGCATAATTTATCATCTACTTGCATACGATTTTACTCTGATACATTTGTAAGATATGTCTCAGTTTATGGAAGCTGCTCGCTACTAAATCTGATTTTAATACATCAAAAACATACACTCACAGGAATTATGTTAACCATCTATTCTTCATTCAGATTGACTAACTGCCCTATCAGTATTTACAAAAAACAGCAGAATTAGACTCAGGCCTTGTGGGTCTAACTCGCTCCTTGTAGGAGAAAAAGGAGCCCCATTTTGCAGGCTCAACATGTCAAGGTTAGGGTGGGTTTTAAAGGTCACCTTTTTAACCATCAAGCGTTGTGGGTGCTTCTTCCTTTTATTCCTTTACCTCTGCCGCACGGTCTCCCATTTATATTTAACCAGTGCTCCGGCTCCTCTACCGAGGACGAACTCTGAAGGGACTCTGTTGTCTTTCAGGACTCTGCAATCCTCTGCGATCACGGGTGCTGTGGTGGGGTACAAGACATGGCCCTGTCCTCTGGGAACTTAGCAGATACAAAGGCACATTTCAGTTATGAGCAGCCTGGTACAGAGCTAGGAGTTTATCATCTGACTCACTGCTAAAAGGGACGCTCATGCCAAAGCCCTATAAAGGATCTTCAAAAACCCATAAAAGCAGGCTTCTAGAATTGGCAGGCTGTACTGAAAGGTCTTTTGTTGTTGCTCTTGGTTTTGAAATGGGTCTCACCGTGCTTCCTAGTCTGACCCTGAAGTCCTGGATTCCAGGGATCCTCCCACTTCAGTCTCCTGAGTAGCTGGGTGCTCCAGGCCTGCACCACCATACCTGGCTAAGAAAGAATTTTTAATAACCACAGGAACTGAGGGCTAAATAAGAACTTTTCCTGAGTGTGTTGTTTGTGATTCCTGGCCGGGTGATTGCCTGAGCAGTTGTTTATATTTGTTTTTGCTAGGTCCGTCAGTTGGAATCCAGCCTTCTGCCCCTTAAACACCAAAAACATCTCAACTCATCAGGTACTGTGAAGCCCACAGAGCAAGAAAAGTTGAATCTAAAGAGAGAATGTGAACAGTTTCAGAAGGAACTATCGCCTGCTCATAGGAAGGTGAGTTTTCCAAAGTATGTGCCATGTGTCTAGTGTTCCCTAGAGCATGTTTCTTACCCTGTAGAATTCTGGGGAGATGATTGCATTTTGATTCTTCCTTTTATCACTTTATGTCTCTGTAGTCTCATCAAAACAGTATTGTAGTTCTTTTGGATTGAGAAATGGTTGAAAAAGAACAGTGCAAGCCAGGGGTTTAGCTCAGTGTTGTAAGTGCCTGCCTGGCAAACACAAGGTCATGAGTTCAATCCCCAGTACCAAAAAAAAAAAAAAGAAAAAGAGCAATGTGTTTGAAGGTTTCATGGGCAAGACAGTTCATCATCATCACTATTGAAAGATTTTATAAACTGGCAAAATATATATAGCCTACACATTGGAAACATCTCATTGTATACTGTATCAGTTAGCTGGTGCTGTGTAACAAAACAGCATGTGGCACCTGAAGTTTCTGTGGGTTGAAACAGGAAGCAGCTTAGCAGAGTGTGATGTCAGCCAGGGAAGTGGTCAGCCGAAGGCTTTGCTGAGGCCAGAGGATCAGCATTCCAGGCTCTCTTCTGATTTACCCAGAGGATACTGTTTCCCGCTAGCTAAATGCCTGAGACCACAGCTTTTTGTTTCCTGGACAGGCAGACATCTAAGCTCAAAATACCAAGACAAACTGTAGGGCCTTTGAGATTATAGCATCAAAAGTCACACACTGTGCTTTCTGCTGCAGGCTGTCAATACACAGACTAAGCCAGGCAGTGGGGATCCTGGCAAGCCCTCTCGGAGCTGGCTACCACCTGCTCAGACCCCAGGAGCACAACTCCATTTGCCTTCTGTACCTTGTCTCTTGAAGTCAGGGTTCAGACCATGTTAACCTGAGGATGTTGGAGGTTACTTGTCTTTTCTTTCCTAAACTAAAACTTCTAAGTTTTCACTATTACATTCCTCTTGTCAGATAATACTGTTTATTCAAAATCCCTGGAGGAGAGAACAGTACTAGTTTTGTTATAAAATACTCATGTTTTTCTATACCTTACAAACATTCCGACCACTTGCAGCAAGAAGGCTGGTCGCGATCTAAGATGAAATGCCACTGCATTTCAGCGCCTTTTGAGGAAACGTGACAGAGTTCCTTAGCCACTCTTCAAAGGAAAGATCTCATGAGAGGTTTTAAAATAACGATTTGAAATGGGCCTGGAAATGTTCCATTTCTTCTTTTTTTTTTTTTTTGGCTTTTTCCTTTTTATGGGTACTAGGGATTGAACTCACGACTGCCTGCTTGCAAAGCAGGCGCTTATGCCGCTGAGCTAAATCCCCAGCCCCTCCATTTCTTCTTAACAAATCTTGCTGCTCTCCTCAGCTCGTCTTGATAGAAGCCAACATTAGCTTTCTACAATAGTGTCATGTTTTCTATTTAGCAGTATTTTGAATCCCAACATCCTGGAGCTCACTTGAGTCTTCCTGAATTAAAGAAATCCCAAAAGTGGATGCACATAAAATCTTCAAATTCCATCTTTAAAACTGAAAAAAAAAAAAAAAGTCACATAAATTTTGATTTATGTACTCTCAAGAGCTTGTCCCCTCCGAGATCTAGTAGTAGCGGGTCATTAAATCAATTTATTGAAAATAGCATTTTTTATTACTAAAATACACTGGGATATAGCAGTTTATGGCTGTGGTAAGGAGAAATCTTTCCTAAGCATTTTCTTTGAGTGATGATGTAGCTACAGTTGTCCGCAGAGGTATGTGGAGGTGTGGATACAGTGTTACAAGAAAATCTTGCGGTGTTTTTTTGTGGGGGGGTTTTGTTTGTTTTTTGTTTTTTGCATTGGGTGGCATCAAAGTCTAGAAACCAGAAGCCTAAAACCTAGATTACTTAAGTAGCACTGCATTGTTTATTGGTTTTTGCATTATTGAAATTTCTTGGCTTTCAGTCGAGATTTTTGACAAACACAAATTTATCAAAGTAAAGGAGAACAATTTGAGTCTTTGTTTGCTTTTTGTTTTGTTTTGAGTACCAGGAATCAAACTCACAGCGTTGCACTTGCCCGGCAGGCACTTAAGCCGCTAAGCTAAATCTCTAGTTTTTGTTTTGTTTTTTTTTTTAAAGGAATTCTGTTTTTTAATAGGTCAGTCAGGTGAATGCCCTTGAACGAGAATTAGAAACAATTCATTTGGAAAATGAAGGCCTGAAAAAGAAACAGGTGAAACTGGACGAGCAGCTAGTGGAGGTAAGTGTTTAAGCAAGTGGCGTTCACTGTGGAAAGTACTTTAATGTATGAATGAGACATTCATTGGGAGAGATTAACCATGGCATTGAGTTCCTGCTGTGAAAATCTGAGTACTTGCCAACCTGCATTCTTTGGCCTGTTTTGCCAATTTATTATTTAATTACTTACTTATTTACTTATTTATTGGTCTTTTTGAGACAGGGTCTCTATGCAGTTCAGGCTACCCTCAAACTCACTTTTTAACCCAGGCTGGCCTCAAACTTGCAATGATGCTCCTGCCTCAGCCTTCCATGTGCTCGGGTTACAGGCATGCAACACCATCCCCAGCTATTACTGGTTTGATTTTTGAGTACCATTGTAGCATATAATATATATCGTTATAGAATGTGAAACAACTTAAAACCTTCCATCATAAATAAAAATTTCATTGAGATATTTTGCTTTCAGTAAAGGAAACTTGTGAACATTTTGTGAATTGTAAAATGTATAGACAGTAGGGAATTATGCACAGAAAATATCTTTGTTCATTCTTAAAACATAATGTATACAAATATTTTTAAGTCAGAATATAGGAAAGAAGAACTGTTTCAATGTTTTCTTTTATAAAGCTGGATATAAGCCAAGGTAATTTTAAAAAGTAATACACGGCTTTTAAATGTGCAATACGGCTGAGCATATCATGTTGATGTTTAAACAACCTCTAAAGGTTCCTGGCAATTTTATGTTGTCTGATTTATCCACAAATGGGGAGATTAGTGAAACTATAAATAGTGAAAGCCAAACCACGTTTTCTGACAGCCTATAATAAATGCATCCCAAACCTTGAGCTGCCGCCTGTGCTTAGAAGGGGATATGCTTTCCTGAAGAAATGATTACATACTCTAATGAGTACGCTATCCGAAGCCAAGCCCAATGTGTCTAGCAACAAATTGAGAGGAGCAGACTGTAATCAGTCACCGCTGCGTGCCCTCCAGGTGCCCCGTGGCCAGCAAGCTGCCTCTTACCTTCCCAGTCCATTTATAGCATCTGCCACCCTAAGCAACTCCCCACATCATCTTCCCCTGGATCTAGTAATAAATATTTGCTAATAGATAGCAAAAATGGAGTGTTCTTGACACTGTAACTGAATAAGCAAAAAAAGTAGGGACTTTCTATTTAAAAACTAGAAAGAATATGTCATATACTATCCTAATAAGACTTTAAGATTTAACTCTATGCATTTATATGGATTGGGTTTTTTAACAGTTCTATTGATATGTAATATACATACTATACATTTTAATGATTTGGGGTATGTTATTCAGTTTTTAAAAGGTGATAAATATTTATAGAACACAAAACATGCCTTTTTAGCCATTGTTAATTTTAAAATTTAGTGGTATTAGGCCCGGGGGTTTAGCTCAGCTGCGTAAGTGCCTGCTTGGCAAACACAAGGTTGTGAGTTCAATCCCCGGTACCAAAAAACAAAACAAAAAGAAAAGTTAGTGGTATTAATATATCATTTCCAATTTCCATTTTCATCACTTTCTGACTGTTAAGCATTAACCCCATTCCTCCTGCTGGCCTTAGAAACTGGATTATTTATAACATGATATCTGTAGATTAAGCTGGTTTGTGGAATATACAATGACTTCTCCCCATCCTTGGTATCCCAGCTCACCCAAGGGATTGGTATATTCCTTCCAGTCAGGGATTCTCACCTGCCTAGGGCGAGAATCTTTGGAAACAGAGGAAAGCTCCTAGGAGAGTCTGGTCTGACCTCTGTGTTCCTGCGGGGGAAGGCGTCCCTGCTTATCTTGTATACACACCAGCTTAAACATCACCCATCTAATGTGACACATACCCTATTCCCATGGAATTAAAATTGCTAGAGTAGAAAATGGAAGAATTACAGCTGGGATTTGACTCCACTGCCAAGGCTTTTTTAACTACAGGAGACAATATTCAGTCCAAAATAACAAAAACAAAAAATCTTGAACGTTGAAAAAGGAGTATCAGGTCCGCTCTGTACCACTGTGATCACCAGCATTTTCAAGAGCTGAACAAAAATTCTTGAGTTTCTATTTTGCATCTGCAAGGGCCAAGCAATGATAACATTAGATCCATTCCATCCTGTACCTGGAGTTGCCTAAACAATCATAGTAGGACAGGTACAGGTCAAGGAGACCAGCTCACACACCCACCAGATGGCAGCAGGTGAGGAGGTAGGCACAGAATCAGAGTTGAAGACATCTGCATGTCTACAAAGTTTTTATTTGGAGAAATGTAAATTTTGGTCCTTCACATGGTTTTGTTCAGGTATATAAATGTATCCAAATGATAACTGTTGGTTCTCTGTTTATAACTCCTTTTTCTTCCTCTTCCTCTAACTCCTATCATTTCTTCTGTTTTTGTTTTGTCTCTGGCTAACCTGTACCTAGAGCTCAGTGGTTGGAAATAGCAGAGAAGGGTGCAGTTCTCTGCCTGAGATAGTGTGTGAAGGTAGCACTTTCTTTTCCGATGGACTGGCATGGCATGGGGCCATCTCCCTGAACTCTTCACTGTGTAACCTTTCTGTAGCAGTTCATCAGTCCTAAGGAGCCAGTATTCATTTTCATTTTGCTTTCACTGTGGAACATGTCTCTGTTTCCATGGGGATTTTCCTCAGTGTTTAAAGCATTGTATATGAAGAAAATTACCCCACCTATATAATCTCATGGGGTCCTAATACTGCATCTTCTTTATTCATGAAAATAAAGGGGGGGAGGTTTGAATTTAAACCTAAAAGGATTTCAGAATGGATATGGGTCCACCTCAGAAATGAGGATCTAAGGAAATGAATAGTGGCTTTGAAGCTTCATGGTAACATTTAATTATGGTTGAACCCCGCTGCAAGCCTGGAGGTGCTTCCTCTTGGGTTTCAGACTTGCTCCTGTGTCTTGCATGCCTTCCATGGAGTCCAGTGTCTGCTGAACGAGCTGACAGATGTGAAGTGGCATGCTCGTTGGCCAGAACCTAGTGTCCACTCATCGTTTCCTCTCCCTGCATTCGATTGGCATGTTGGTACACCATTTCCTCACTGTTTTTAACAAATGCTTCTGTCCCATGTACCCCACTTCCCAGATGTTTTAGGATATCGCCTTATGCTCCAGAAACTGCCTATCTTACTGTGATGTGTAAAGTTGTAACTACACATTGACAAACATTTTTAAAATGGGTTCATGTAATTTTAAGTGCAAGATAAAATCCACCCTCCTCCTTTTTTTTTTTTTTCTAAAATGGAGTGGGAAGACATGTAGCCATTGAACATTTTGTCTTTAAGAATCTTTACAAGTGGCAACTCTAGTGGAAATCCTAAAACATAACCACTTTTCCCCTGATTTCCTTAGTTCTACCCCGGGTTTTGATAAAGGGGAAGAGAGTAATTAAACATACTGGCCTAGAAAAAATTGTGTAGAATTCTGATATACCATACCGTGTGCTCTATATTATGCACAGATGCTCTTATGGTCACTCAAATGAGGGAGTACAATTTTTCAAAAGCCAAAAATTTTTCAGAAAGCCTGCTTATTCATTATCTTTTAAGCAAAATGGCTCTTCCCATTACCTGTCTCTCGCATTCATGCACTGTTCTGCTTCTAAGTTATCAGTCAAGAAGAGGCCAGTAGCTACATCACAGATTTCACTCCTCCCTGTCAGGGACAGAAGGGAGCTGCTGTTGACCAGACCTTTGTCCTCCTCCTGCAGATGCAGCCCCTGAGGTCCACTGTGATGCTTAGCCCGTCTCCTCCTTGGGATCTGCAGCTGCTCCAGCAGCAAGCCTGTCGGGTGGTCCCCAGGGAGCAGTTTCTGCAACTTCAGCACCAGCTGCTGCAGGCAGAGAGGAGGAACCAGCACCTGCAGGAGGAACTTGACAACAGGGCCTCTGACGCCAACATGCCACAGGTAGTGAGCCTTCTGTTCTTCTGTCGGTCAGCTGAGCTCACGGTGTTAACTTTCCCTTTATCTGAAAGGTGGGGATGAAGAACCTGAGTCTTCTATCCGAGAGTCACACCTTTCCTGTGTTTTGCTCCCACGGAGCTGCAGTGCTGGGTTTGGGTTTGGTTTTTGCAGTGCTGCTTTCAGCTCTCAGCTTCTAGGCTGTGTGGTAAAGTGTGCTGGTCTCCTTTGCACACTAGTAGTAGGCAACAAAGTACCAGAATGACTGGAGCATCGTGCCCTCTTGGCCTAACGGTCTCATCTGATGCCACCAAATCTTAGCAAACTGAAATGTAACTTGGTTTATGCACTAATAACACAACATCCTAGCCGGGTATGGTGGCACATGCCTGTAATCCCAGCACTTGGGAGGCTGAGGCAGGAAGATTGTTGCAAGTTCGAGACCAGCCTGGGCTATAAAGTGAGCTCAAGGTCAGCCCAAACTGTATAGCGAGACCCTGTCTAAAAAAGACAGAAAAACAAAACAAAAATTCACAGTATCCTGAGTTTTCCTGTGCCAGAGGGCTGGAGCCTGCCAAATTCTACAGAACTTACAAATGGGACTTTTATTAACTGATAGATAGCAAGTGTAGCTAGTGGTACATTCTTGGTTGATATGACGCATTTAACTTAATTTTTGATTAATCTAATTTGAAAAGCCATTTTAAAAAATACAGATCAGCCGGGGATTTAGCTCAGCGGCATAAGTGCCTGCCTTGCAAACGAAAGGCCGTGAGTTTGATCCCTGGTACCAAAAGAAAAAAAAAAAAGATCTTCCCATTGCCTTTGAATCACCATTATCCTAGCGCAGCTGCCGGGTACTGCATCAGCTCGTACTGCCTAGGCTTCCAAAGTTATTTTTCTTCAGTGCTTCATTCACAGTATCCTTCAGAGGTTTCATAACTCTCCAGTCTTAACCCATTCGTTAATTCAAAATTAGGAATAAAAACTAAAAAGTATCTCTTCCTGGAATTCCAGATCAGTTCTCTTTAGTTTAGATTCACTTATGCTTCCAAATATGTCACCTCCTGAATAGTGATAAGGAGTGATAATATTGATAACGTTAATATTGATAAGGAACTGCACATTTCTTTTTTTAATCCCCTCTGAATGACTTTGTAAAATCATGTTAGTACTAATGTTTTCCTCTTTTGCTGTGTAGCTGTGCTTCATTGTGATATATACTTCTCCGCTACCTAATCTTCTTGAAAAAATTTTGAAAAAAACCTTTTTTCTTACCGATTTTAAAATCCACATTTTTGGAAGCTTTTCTATATCCAATACCTTCCCAGTACCAAAATTAAATTTTTGAGTTAAAATTGCAAGGGGGAGACCATTTGAGAGATGCTTCAGCTCTTCGTTGTAGAACTGAACTACAGACCCTTGACCCTGGCTTCTAATCGATCTTTGAGGCCCATGTGTCTGGCCAAGCCTCTCTGTCTTTGCTCACCGATACACACAGTTTTCACTCAAAGCCCGCTCTTCCCAGCCAGTCCACCAAAGTGTAGATATAAAACCTGCTCTTCTACTCCATTACTTCTGTTCATGTTCTTGTACAAAAAGGGAAAGAAAAAAATTCCTCCAGCAGAGACAAGGGGAGACCGCTTATTACTTTTACTAGAAAACCATGCCAGGCTTGTGCTGCTGAGCTGATGTGAATGTTAGGATACAGGGTACAGGGCAGGATGTGCATGTCATCTGTGAATGTGGAGTGACGTGACATCCCCTGCCTCCGTGTCGCTTTGCTTGCCAATGCAGTGGAAGTGGTGTGCTACTTTTCAAAACAGTTTGCTTTGTCGTGTGTGAAGTGAGACTCCCTGGACCGCGTCCCCTTGGCATCAGGGTGAAGTGTCCACTTGCCTTCTTTCTCTAGGCTTTGCTACCGGAGCCGCGAGCCGTGCATGCGGATTCCTACAGAAGGATTGGGCACCTGTGACACGGGGCTGCTGTGGATGGCACTGGTTCCCATGCAGCCTCCTCACGCTCACACCCACACACGCACGCACGCACACACGCACGCAAAGACCTAAGCCGAGACCCCTGGGAGCCAAGTGCTTTTGGCAATTATTCCATCATTATTTTTACTGAAGCCTTTGCAGTATTATGTCAAAACATATTTATGTCTGTAGAAAGGACAGAGTCTGTGAATCGAATTCACGAACTTCAGGTTGTTACAAATCCTTTTTTATTTAAAGAGTGTGAATTTAAACTTCTCAAAAGGATGTATTCTATATATTTTTTTCTCATTCCATATGTTGTAATTATTTTTAACAAAAGGTACTACTTTTCTATATGGAATTTGAAGAAAGTCAGGGTTATTTATACTGTTTTGTATGAGTTGTACAGTAATTTTTGACAGGGAAAAGGAAAATTTTGATGAAACAATAAAATCAATTTTAAATATATGACTGCCTTTGTTTTTGCTTTTTTCTGCTCTTTGGCCATACTCCACATTTGTAGGATTGTCTATGGTTACAGTTTTCTGTGTGGCTTGATTTTCTTAGGACAGAAGAAATTTCAAAAATTCATTTATGTTTGAACCTTAAAAACTCACTAGCTGTTATCATTCTTTCATTATTTGCCTGCGAAAATTTCTTATTTTTTCATAAAATCAAAAATTAGAGAGGGAAAACACCCATCGTACCTTTTTAACATGTGTGCCTTTTTTAAAGCTAAATATCTAAGGCTTAATTTATTGAAACTCAATTTTGCATTGGACTAATGCCTACCACAATTTCTTCCATTCGAATTAGTCACATGGTTTATGATTAAGGGATATTATTGAATATCCAATCAAATGTAAGTTTTCAACTTGTGTCATCCTCCTGCCTGTTTTATTTTAAGATAGGCCTTTTTAAGAATATTTAACCATCAACATTTGAGCTCTGCTTAAAGCCTTGAAGCCCTGGTTCTGAGCTAACATCTCCTTATGTAGATGTTTTGGTGAACAGAAGGAAGTGACAGGGGCAGTCAGTTGGACTCTGGTCTCTCTCCAGGTCACTCTGCTGTCCCCACCCACACATTCCTTAAGCTGTCACTGGTGTGGGGCGAGGAGGAGAGGCCAGGGCTTTTTGCCTGCCTTTGTGGTTTTCATCTAGGAGAGATCTCTGGGGAGCAATTCTTGATTTTCAGTCTGCACTGATGAAAAATTCACTTTCCAGCCTGGATGTTTGCTTCACATTGATAAGACAAACTAGGAAGCAGATGACCAGGATACGGGGATGGGGAGATGATTAGGAAGGAAGAGAGAACCCTCCTAGGTGTCAGTCATTTCCAAGGAGAAACAGACCTTAGTGTTTCATGTTGGTTGGGAACATGAGGCAGCCTCAGGTAAACCCAATACCTGGAGACCCCACACTGTCACAAAGACCCAAGCCACAACAGAAGGCTCATCCATCTTTTAACTTGCTTTGGGTACTCATTTCTCTAGAAAAAGTGCACACAGGCCCTCAATGATGGGTCTTATGAATTTTGCTTTTTTATCAGGGGATAGTGGTATCCACAGGTAAGATTCTCTCTCTTTGATTCCTTCTCTGATAAGGCTACTTTTCTCACATGTACAATCCATGCAGTCTGCAGAAATCCCATCCTTCCTATTATCAAAGCAAAACATTAGCTGTCCTTTCTAGCGGCATCTTGTGGGGAGAATAAGCCTTTGCTCTTTCCAGCGTGGCATGATTTTCAAATGATAATACACCTTTTCTTTTCTGCAGGGAAACCAGGAACAGCTGGTATCACTCATGGAAGAACGGATGATAGAAGTGGAACAGAAACTGAAACTGGTGAAGAGGCTTCTTCAAGAGAAAGTGAATCAGCTCAGAGAACAAGTGAGCCTCCCCAGCCCCTCTCATGCACCTCACGCCCCCGGTTTAACTCCACTTTCACGCCCCTCTGTCACCATTAACTCCTGTTGTCTAATAAAGGCAAATTCTCCAGAGTGTCTAGAGGAACATAGGATCCAACGTGCTGCTGCAAAAATATGAACTCTGATTTCTACAGTTTCCAGAGCTCTTTTACGACATATGTTTGTCCACAATTTTAAAAACATGTTTGCTAACAATATCTCACATAGATTAACACACCCCTAAGGAGGTTCTGAGACTCAAATTGAATATGTACATCTTATTTTTCTTTGCCCAAGGCAGTGTGCATATTCAAATAGGAAAATGATACTGGTAAAAAAAAAAAAATGAAGGCAGGGGTAAAAAGTAGACTGTAGCTTTCCGATTCCCAATAGTTTGTGATAACCTCAAAAAGCACCTTATCAGGCCCCAAATGGATGTGCTTTCAATAGAATCTGGACCCTGCAAACACCTGCTGGTGGCCTAAGTGTTCAAAGTGTTTTCATTTACTGAGAGATACTCAGGGAGGACCAGCTCCTAGGTACACATCAGAGCATCTGTGGAAACAGACTGAGACATGCTGGTGGCAATTTTCTAGATAAACAGTTTTAAAAGGCATAATAATCCCAAGAGAAGGTCTGAATGCAAAGGCAGACAAGAATTCTCCTTTGCCCTTCATCTTAATAAAGAGAGGAGAAAAAAGAAGGTCCTATTAATGAGCAGCTACCCATTCTACGCTGTAAGTATTCACTCATTCAATTGTGTTACTACAGAAGCAGCAAGGAAAAAGAGAAAGAGAGAAAGAAATCCCTGCCCATGTTTAATTAAAACCTAGCCCACCTATAAGGTGCCAAGCATTTGCCTGATGACAGTCAAAAATAAAATGAAATAAAATAGGTTGGTTCTATGTTCAGTAGAAGAGAAAAAAACACTTGATCCAACCCATTCCTACCACCTAGAACCACCAGAGGTACACGCACGACTGTCCCATCAGGTGGCTTGTACCATCCCTTGCTGCTCAACGGGACAATTGTGCATGCACACTGTGGTGCAGGCTGCTGAAGTGGAGTCCTGAGAATAGAGTGACAGGTGGAAAAAAGGTGGGGGGGCATGGTAGGCTGTGGAAACATCAAGGGGTTAGTTAGGACAACGTGTGGGGTGAGAGCATCTGTAAACATGGGGCACTGCCGGGCTGTAATGTTGACCTGGAAGAGGAGACTGGAGAAAAGAGACCTCGCATGCTACCCTGAGTGACTTTCATTCTGTTGTGATGAAGAACAGTTGAAGTGTTTCTTAACAAAAGGAAGAGGAGAGAAAAGCAGTATTAGAACATCTTGATAAAGAATGGGTTCTAAAATGTGTGCCCCCTGCCAGTCGTCTGGATTTTTATTCACCTGGGAAATGCTAATTAGCCTCTCCATTGCTGCTCTTTATTCCCTCTAACCTTTATTCCTGTAGAGGCACTGCTTGAATCTAGGTGTAAAATGAGGATTTAGAAGTATGATGTGGGTAAAGGAGATGGAAGATACTAATGGGGATGATACTAAAGAAAGAGCCTCCCAAATGTGCTAACAAGTCTTCCCACCCTAACCTTGACTAAATATTCTAACCATAAGGATGGGAAGATACCTCTTAGGCAGGGCCCTCTGAAGAAAACTGCCCATATCTCACCTTTTTATAATTCATGAGCCAAATTTCTCAATAATCAGTAGATTGTTGTGAATGGAAATTTACACACTTGCTAAAAGCAGAATGTGTACCTCAAAAATTTAAGTTACAAAAGTATTGTTAATTTTAGAAAAATAAGAAATGCTACCTCATCTATTTAGGTGGGGGAAAGACATTTTGGGGACTTTTAATAGCAATCTGTTACTTGTATTACTAACACCTACAAACATATGATGTAAAGAAACAGCTTGGAAAAAAGTGGATTTGTTCCACTCTCAACCCCAACACCAAATCTGATGATAACGCTGCACTATAAAATAAAAAATACAATTGGAGAATGGACTTTGCCTTTATAAAACAACTGACCTTATGTCAGCCCTTAAACCTAAAAGCATCGTTACAGAAATGGGATGAAGATGTTTCTGGTTCTGTTTCTAGCTCTGCAAGAATACTAAAGCAGATGCAGTGGTGAAGGACTTGTATGTTGAAAATGCTCAGTTGTTGAAAGCTCTGGAAATGACTGAACAGCGGCAGAAAACAGCAGAGAAGAAAAATTACCTCCTAGAAGAGAAGATTGCCAGCCTCAGTAATATAGTCAGGAATCTGACACCAGCGCCCTTGACTTCTACGCCTCCTTTGAGGTCATAGCCACACCAAAAGATGCACTCGTATCTGTGCACTTTACTGAAATAGGTGGAAGGTTTCAGTAGGTTCCTTTAACCCCATTTACAAAAACTCAATGGCTTAAAATTAAAACTGAGCCCAAGTCTGCCGGCACCAGAATTGGAGTCTCCAATCATCATAGCTAGTTTTTAAAACAGAGTCTTGTGGGAATTCCAACAAACAATCACGTATTTCACTGTTTATTCAGAAGCTCTGAATTTATTTTTTAAGTATTCTATAGCCGCTACCAAGAAGATGAATATGTAAAACTATTTAAGAACCTTAAAGCCCCATTTTAATGGATTTTTTTCAGGTCACTTATATGCCAACTGTATAGAGTCCAGATACATTTCTGAGTTTGGGACCTGATTAAAGTGGTTATTAAAGAACTATTTTAAAATCAAGTTTAGGTATTATGCATTTAAACACTGAAAAGTCATTCTGGTTGTAATAGTTTGGCATTTTTTTAATTAATTGGTAGACTATACTTCTGTTTCATAAGAAGGGTAGGCTTGGTGACAAATGAGGTCAGGAAAGCCCTGACCTCATGGAACTGACCTCAAGCCCTGACCTTGTGGAACTCTACCTTCTGACACCTACTACTCATGCTGTAGTATAGATTAAGAACTGATACACTTATGCTGTTGCTGAGTATTACTACCCTTGATCCATTCTAGATTTAGAATCCACTGACTCAACTGCACTCTTAACTAATGGTAAAGCTTTACTTTTTTTAAACAGCCTTTTTCTTCCTCCTCTTAGAAGTTTCATTGGGGACCTTGTCTTCTAAGAAATGGATAAAGCCACATTCTTAAAGTACCTGAACCATAGGGAGAGCTCTGAACAAACCCCCTTGGAGTAAACAGCCACTCTTGAAGAGGGATATGCAGCCCGTAGGGTTCTCCTGCGTCTGAAGTCTTGGAATTCATGGACTTACCATTAATGATGCCTCAAGAACTCAGGGAACAATTTTTATACACTTCCTGAACTACTGTTGGGCTTCTCTAAAGAGTTTGGAATATATAAACCATGTGACCTTATTTATTTGTTTTATATATTTATGGCCATAGAATTTTTATTTCTACATTGTAGTACATTTACTTGTCCGGAAAAGGCCTTGATCTTAGAAGTGAAAATTTCTTCTAACTTTATCAAAGAGTTTTTATTGTTTATTTAACATAGGTCAGAATTTTCAAGCTTCTCATTCTTCTGTACCTCAGATCTGATTGCAAGAGTTTCTGACTGTGATAAGCGTTGGCACTGCCACCCTTGGGAAAGGCATGCAAAACAGGACTCCCCACCGTTCCCAAGATCAGAGCTAATGGCACAGTAAACATTCTAGACTGGATAACACACTGCCTGCCTTGTCTCAGTTAAAATCTCCCCTTCTAGCCTACTTTCTCCAGCGATTAGTGGAGGACTTAAAAAGTGCAGGACACTACCAAAGCTCCTCACACTCCCCTTCACATTTTCACAAGACAGTAATTATATCAGGAATTTCACTTTGATGGACTCCAGGAAACTCAAACCCATCTGTTTACAAGAGGTATAAACAGAATAACCAAACACTGTTTATCAGCTGGAACACAGGATAAAGCAAACTGTCACAGAACAGTCATAGAACGGTCAGACCTTCAATCTCAGCAAAACAGTTTCCACCAAGGACCTCCTTCCTCAGGGCCTGGCCACCTGCTGTCAGGCTTGGGGCCAGTCCAGGAATCCTCACTGTACAGTCCCCGCCAAGGCCCTGCCGTGTGGGGGACTAGTTCTTACTGGTGAAGGAGACAGTTCAACTTCTGAATGGTTCTTCTTAGCCCTTGGAAAAAAATTTTTAATTCTTCCTTATAATTACGCTTCAAAATACTTGGCATCTGTTATCACACCATCTCTAAATCCTACCATGTAGACTCAACTATTTGTATGGCACTGGCTTTAATAGAAAATTTTTCACTTAAAATCCTGGATAGCCCTTGGCCAAGGGCAAGGTACAAACTAAGCATCTGTGGTGTGCTTTTGTGATTGCTTCAGGTCATTCAAGGTTAGTAGCACTGAAACTAACACAAAGTACATTTCCCAAGTAGCTGACTATGCATGTGATCCCATTTGTTGTATTTGTTTGTTTTTTACATGATGAAAAGTATAGGTTGGTTTCCTACAAATGTGTATTTATTTATATATGAAACGCTGTACAGTAAATGTAAATATGACTTTTGGGGAAGTTTTAGACTACATTTTGATTATGTTTATCCAAAGTTAAAGTAGTACTCAGATAAAAATTAACTTAGCCAATAGGTAATTCGTTGCTTTTACCTACTAACTAAATTGGGAGGAGGGTGGGAATCAACATGAGAAATACCATACAGATATCGTAAATTTATATATTTGTGCTTATTTTTGAGAGATGGTTTAGAGTGGGAGTTTAACTGCCCATTTATAATATAGCTATGGCTTTTAAGATACTTTGAAAATATGAAATTTAAGATGTTAAAATTATATAAATTATGTTTAGATTTTGCTTTCAGACGCCTTAAATGGCAGTCTTCAAAATCAAGTTATATATTTTATAGAAATTCAGCAGATTTTTTTACTATAAGCACTGGTTGTTAAATTTATTTTAATGTAGTAATTATTTAAGATTTTCCTAAAAGATCAGCTCTTCATTTCAAGGGAAAAAAATCAAATGTTGCCTTTGAAATAATAATATAATAATAATAATAATATGCTGAACAAAGGAAAATGTGGATGATAAGACCTCCATGACCCTATTTTACTACTTCTGCTTTCTAAAAGTCTGACTCTTCAGCTCAAATTTGTGAAGAGAAAAAGTAGGAATTATAGAACCAACCACAATATTTTATTTATTTTTCTAAAGCTCTTATTAAATCCAGACTTTAAAAACTTTTTTAAATGTGAACCTTTCCCAAGGGCCCCAATGCACTGTTTATATATTCAGCCAGCAGCATATTTGACATAAGCAGATCATGAAATCATGGGTTTTCAGGGTATCAAAAATGCACCAGTGCCCAGAGCAGAAATTATTTTGAAGAACTGGTTTTAAGAAATGAATAAGGCTTTATGGCAGAGTTTGACTTTTTGACATGTGGAAAATAACTTACAATTTTTGTTTTTATTTTGCTGAGTGAAGGAAAAAAAAACACACTGCTATTGTCAGGTAAGAAGCAAATCATGTTTTGAATGGATGACCTGTAATGAATGACTCACTGGAATGATGTAATTATACAAGCAATGCCAAAAATGGAATCAAAACCTAATAACCAAAGCATCCATATTTAAAATATTCTATCGTGTATGGACCTATGTGAACATTTCAGTGCTGACAACTAATTTTTATTTTGTGGCATAGGAATGATTGTTGGATAACAGAGTTAGCTTTTTTGTTTCTCAGCTCTTTGTATTATACAGGTTAAATGTGTTCTTACTGGGGAGACATTATCACACGTGCTTTAAGGGACATTAGTTTTGGGAAGGAAAACCTGAGTTCATGCACAGTCTAGCTGGAGGTTTAGCTCAGCGACATAAGTGCCTGCTTGGTGAGCACAAAGTCTTGAGTTCGATCCCCAGTACTAGGGAATATAAAACAAGATACCAAAACCCTTAAGGTTTCGACAGTCTAGAGTTCGGTTCACATACAAAATAATGTATATATAGGGCTGGGGATTTAGCTCTAGCATAAGCACCTACCTTGCAAGCAGGCAGTCATGAGTTCGATCCCTGGTACCGATAAAAATGGAAAAAAAAAAAAAAAGACAAAATAATGTATATATGTTTATATCAGCTTTGTATATCTCACCTTAGCCATTGTATCCTAGAAAGATTTTAATGTGACTCTAACTGTAAATAAATAATTTTCCAAGTATGCCTCTTGTTTTCTATGTACCCTAGACTTCCATAAAAACTTTCAATGTGTTTATCTGTAGTCTTGAGAGTGAAATCAAAATATTGCACCAAGCACAGTCTACAAACGCAGAATTTCAGACTGCACTCCAGAGGACTAAATTAAGATTCATAGATCTCCAAATGATGTGTTCGTGCCTTAGAACATGGATTCCGTTCCTGCCAAAGAAGCGTAGCTGTATACTACAGCAGTGCATAGCTACCTGCAGAATCCTGGCTTAACCTCAGGCAAGGCCTCACTTGGGATATTAGATTTTTAGAGGAGGCTTTGTTTCACTTTGCCATCCTTGTGGGTGTGGCTCAGATGTTAATTTAGCTGCTCGAGAGTGATAGATGCAGTTAGACACACACAAGGCCAAACTGAAAGCACGTTAGTATGCTGAATGCTGACACTTAGAAATGTGACCAAGTGAAACGTTACAGGAGTCCTGCTTTGTTTATTTTCAAGTCATTTATATCAGCCTCACGTTTCATGTATGATTTAGAGCCTCTTATCCCTGTTTTACAGATGAGAAAACGGAAGCCCAGCAATGTTGTGGCTTATTCAAATCACACTGCCAGTTAAGTCAGTGACTGAGAACTCACAGTCCAGCTCTGTCTGTGTTAATACCATGCTGCGATACTCGTATCTTTCCTGACTTGGGGCAGAACAGCATTTAATCAGTGTTAATTCAGGAACTCCTACACTGCACTCTAAAGAAAAATAGCACTCCTTTGGGGAGATCCAAGATGGGAGAGGCACCCAGCACTCACCTCATCCTCCACAGAGAACCAAAGTATCAGGCATAAAGCTGGATTCTGAGGTGAGTGACTTTGGAGGAACACTAGAAATCAGCAAGGGAGAGAGTAGATCATTAAAACATTCAAAAACATGGGACAGCCATATGGAAACAAAATACCTAGTAACCTCTCACCCCATCTACCACTTCAGCTTCATAGCCTGGAGAGAGAAAGTCTCCAATGTGCAAAACCATGGGTAAAAGAAGGAAATTTTATCTGTGTAGATTCTGACAGTCTTAGATACTGAAAGGGTTCATGTCCTCACTGGCTTATAGCCACTTAGATAAATGACCTGAAATCTGCACAGTAACCTTGCTCTGGAAGAGGATTTCAAATCATCTCCTGGTGACACCCCCACCCCACCCCTATTAGGAGCCTTCTTGAAAAGTGAGCTGCTGAGTTTACACTGCTGTGACCCAGAAACCTGTGCACATTTCTAGCTGAGGGACTCCATAGACATTCTACTGTACTGGCTCAGTGGGTAGCTACCTCACAAACCCAACTTGGGCCAGCAGAGCGATGAGACTCGAGGCTGCTGAGTGCCTTGGACTATAAGGCATGGGTGTTGAAACACAGAAAAGGAAAGTGCGGCTCTGGAGAACCAGAAGAATGTTAGCCTTTCCTCCTGAGGCCTGGAGTGTCTCTTTGTGTCTGTATCCACGCAGTGCCAACGCTGGAGGCAGGACATCACACATTTCCCACCTCCCCTCCCACTGTGCACCACTCAGGTACAGGGCTGGGGGCACCATGGCTCCTGTTGCTGCCGCACTCACAGAGACATGATGAGCCCTTGAGAAACCCCGTGGCTCCAGCTGTTGACCGCTGGTTATACACTGTAGCTGGAAGAGTGTTAGGGAAGGTATTTCCTATCCCTGGACATACAATGGTCAAAGAGAGCTGAAGTAAACCTATTGCCAGCTGAGGTCCCACCCTTGAGCATGAACTGCCACTGGCAAAGGGGAACATCTTAGTCCCCCGCTGATATCCCATCTATGTAGTTCCCACGCTATACCCTACATCTTGTTGGAGCTCACACTGCTATCAGAAGTTGGTGGGAGCCACAAAGTACGGTTCTCATATGGCATCTGGATCCGCAACACTGACTAATCAGAGGAACATGGTTTAGGGCCCTCGTCACTCTTAGGGCCAGGATACCAGAAGCTCTTGAGAGTAGCAGAGCTAGCATCAAAAGTGCCAGAAGAATTTCCCCATAGGGGTAAACACAGGCCACTGCCGTCTGTACCACATATGCTTCAACTTGTGCAGTGCACCTGCTTTTGCATGGCCCAAGACAATGGGTCTCTTTCAGACACCACAATGGTGCATACACACTGTGCCCAAAGTCTTTACCACAATCCAAGAAGCTATAGAAAAACTACACTGTGGCTCTGAGCTGAAAATAAAACCACTGTTGCATAACAAACCCCAAGACATGAAAGCCGGTGTGGTGTCTCATGCCTGTAATCCCAGCACTCGGGAGGCTGAGGTGGGAGGATCGTTGCAAGTTCAAGACCAGCCTGGGCTACAAAGTGAGCTCAAGGCCAGCCTGAACTGCATAGCGAGACCCTGTCTCAAAAAAGACAAAAAGAAAATGAAAATCCAACAATATGGTGCTTACAAGAAACTCATCTCGGGCTGGGGATTTAACTCAGTGGCATAAGCACCTGCCTGGCAAGGAGGAGGTCGTGAGTTCAATCCCCAGTACAAAATAAAAAAAAATCAGTAAAGACATACAGACTGAAATGGAAAGTATTGGAAATTATATTTCAAACAAATGGAAATCTAAAGCAGAAGTATACCTATATCTTATGAAGCAGACTTTAAGACAAAAACTATTAAGACAAAGTCATATATAAAGATCAAGGGATCAGTTCAACAGGTAGATAGATGATTGTAAATCTAGATGCATCTTATGTTGGAGAACCTAATTTATAAGCAAACACTGCTAGATCTAAAGGGAAAAATAGATTCTAATATAATAATAGCAGAGGACTTCAACATCCTACTCTTGATCAGTGGGCAGATCATTCTGACAAAAAGGGCAATAAAACAGTTAAAAAAATTTTTATAGATTAAATGAATTTAACAGATACTTGCAGAACATTTCATCCAACAGCTGAACAATATACGTTCTTTTCATCAGTGCACTGAACTTTCTCTAGATAGACATACTGTCCATAAAACAGGGCTTGACAAAATAAAAAAATTGAAATAATATCCTGTATCTTTTCTAATCACAATGGAAGTCAATAACCAAAGAAGATTGTACAAATTATGATACATGAACACTGAATAAATTTTGAACAAACAATACAACAATGAAATCAAATGTGAAATTTAAAAATATGTCAAAATGAAGATGAAAACACAATATGCCCAAACTTATGGAATACAATAAAAACAATACTAGTAGGGAAGTGTTTGGCAGTAAGTGCCTATATTTTTTAAAAATAAATTTCAAATGAACCAGTAATGTATCTCAAGGATTTTGAAGGCAAGAAGAAAGTCAAAAGAGAAAAAAAGAAAGACTAGAACAAAAATAAATAGGGACTTTAAAAGTATAAATTACTAATGAAACAGTTGTGGTTTGTTTGAAATATAAACAACCAACTTTTAACTGAACTAATCGGAAAAAAAGAGGTAAGATCCAAATAAATAAAACCACAGTTGAAAAGGGAGAGATTAAGACAAATCCTACAGAAATACAAAGAATTACTAGGGATTTTTATTGAAAACCAAATTGGAAAAGCTAATAGAAATAGAAAATTTTCTGGACATGTGAAACCTACCAAAAATGAAAGATGAGGACGTACAAAATCTTGAACCAGCCAATAACAAGTAATGAAATGGAATCAGTAACAAAGTAAGACTTATAGCAAAAACTCAGACCTAAATGGCTTCACTAATGAATTTTACCAAACTTTTAAAGAACTAATGCCAGTTCCCCTCAAAAATTTCCAGACACACTAAAATGGAGGGAACCCTTCCAAACTCATTCTTGGAGGCCAAGATTACCCTGTTAAAAAACAGAGCAAACAAAGAGAAAACTGTACTCCAGTATTGCCTGGTAAACACAGAGGCAAAAATTCTCCAAATACCAATCAAATTTCATAGCACATTAAAAATACCATTCACCATGATCAAGTTTGTTTCATCCCAGGAATGCAAGAATGGCTTAATGTATAGAAATCAGTAATCATAATACATGGCATCAACAGAATGAGTGGTAAAAGATCATGATACCTTAGCCAGGCGTGGTGGCTCATGCCTGTAATCCCACCACTCAGGAGGCTGAGGTGGGAGGATCGTTATGAGTTAGAGACCAACCTGGGCTACAAGGTGAGCTCAAGGCCAGTCTGAACTGCATAGCGAGACCCCATCTCAAAAAAGAAAAAATTTTTAAAAATTATGGTACCTCTATTGACACAGAGAAAACACCTGATGAACTTCAACATTCCCTCAATGATAAAAGCTCCAAACAAATTGGGCATACAGGGACTGTACTTCAGCATACTAAAGAACATGTGTGACTCACAGACAACATCATACTGAGTGGGAGAAAGCTGGAAGCATTTCCTCTAAGATCAAGACAAAGACAAAATATCTAAGCTCACTGTTCTTATTCAATATAGTACTAGCACTTTTAGCCAGAGCAATTATGTGAAGGAAAGAAATAAAAGACATAAATATTATGGGAGGAAGTACAACAGTTTGTAGATGATTCTACATATAGAAAAACCTATAGACCAACAGCCTATTAGAGCTGATATTTAGTACCAAGACACAAATATCAACATATAAAAATCATTAGTTTATACAGATTAAATTTTCTGAGAAATCAGGAAAGCAATTCTACATAAAATAGCTATAAAAGAATAAAAATACTTAGAAATAAGCAGGGAAGTTTAATCCCTCTATAATTAAAAGTTTTTAAAATACTGATGAAATAAAAACACAAAAAGATGGAAGGACCTTCCAAGTTTATGACCAGAAAAAAAATGTTGTTTTAAATGTCCATATTACCCAATATGATCTATACATTTAATGCAATCCCAGTCAAAATGCTAATGAAATGCTTCATAGAACTAGAAAAAACAATTCATGTGGAAGCTCAAAATACCCAGAATACAAAAATCTTGAAGTGCAAAAGGGACAAAGCTGGAGGTATCACAATACCAGATTTCAAAACATACAACAGAGCCATGGTGACCAAACCAAACGGTTTTAATGGCATAAAAACAGACATATAAACAATGGAAGAGGATAGAGAACTCTGCAATCAAACCACACAACTACAATCAACTGATTCTTGACCAACACACTAAAAATTTACTGGGAACAAAAGACAGCAATTACTAAAAGAAAACCTAGGAAACATTTGAAGGAAACACTTTAAGATGTTGGTACAAGCAATAAAGTTCTGGGACAGGACCCAACAGCACAGGAAGTGAAATCAAACATTTACCTTTCTCATTACACAAATTTAAAAACTTCTGAATAGCAAAGGAAACGAACAGAATCAAAAAAATAACCTACAGAATGGGAGGAAACAGTTGCCAATTGTTCACCTCAGGGTTAATATTCAGAATATAATGAACTTAAAAACTTTTTGACAGTCAAGCAGCCCAGTTAAAAACAGGCAAGTTGTTTGAATAGATATTTCACAAAAGAAAAATACAAGTGGCCAACAAGTATATGAAAAAATGCTAAATATAATTAACCATCAGAGAAATGTAAACCAAATATACAAGATACTGTCTTACCCCAGTTAGAATGACTATTATCAAAAATAAAAAAATAGTGACTCTTGATGAGGATGTGGAGAAAAATGAATTCTTGGCACATTGCTGATGTGAATGTATATTAGTACAATTATCATGGAGTACAACTATCATGGAGGATACTATGGTTGGGTTTGGTCACTACAGGCTGTATGTATCAATCACAATGAGTCCCATTAATATCTACAATTAATATACATTAATTTTAAAATGTTAAATGATTTCTGATTGGTAGAGAGTTGTGAGATTCGCTAACAACATCA